ACTTGACTCAGAATCTGACTCTGAGGCCTACGTACCCTATGATGGGGATCAAAGTCCACGTAGTTCGGGCTCAAAAGTTTGTTGATGAAAATATTTTTTGAAGAGAAATTAATTAGAAATAATTCACCATTTTGCAAATAAAACCATTTCTAAATTTTGATATGTGTGTTTTAAATTACAAAAGGTAATTTAATTTTAATTATTTTTTTCATTTTTGAATTTTTGGAATAAAGAAAGGAAAGGGTTTAAAATTATTTTTTTTTATGATTGAGGATTTAATCGCAGTACCTGCAGAACCTAATTGGTTCATACGATAATGCAATTGCTCTAAATATCTGCAGAGATTCTAAAATCTCACCGATAAAAGAGTATGGCAATTTAATTTATTGATTTATATTCTTATGTATATTTTTAAGTGTTAATAATAATTTTACTTAAGTATGTATATATTTTTTAAAGGATTTTAATCATCATACCTGTATAGCCTTATTGGCTTATACGGTAATATAATTTATCTTAAATATCTGCGGAGACTCTAAAATCTCACACGATAAAGGAATTAAATTTAATTAATTATATATATATATATGTATATATATATATTTTTTAAAAACTAAATCGTTATATCTGCAGAGTCTTATTGACTCACACGACAATACGATGATCTTAGAAGCCTACAGAGATTCAAAAATCTCACATGACTAAAAGATATAATCGGTAAATATGGTTACAATTTAAATACATTAATTTGGTTAATTAAGTTTCTAAATTGTTTATTATATGATTATTTACAAATATCACTTATTATATTATAAAAATTGATAATCGCTATATCTGCGAGGACTTATTATCTCACACGATAAGGTGATTAATTTAAGTCTCTACGAAGATTCTTGAAATCTCACATGAGACTTAAATATTTATTATAAAGAGAGAATTAATTTTAATAATGGGCTTTCGAACCTATATTAATATATACAAGATTGATTCTCATACCTGCGAAATCTTATTGATTTACACGATAGAGGATCATTCTAAATGCCTATGGAGATTCTTAAAATCTCACACAACAAATAGGTAATTAAGATATTTGCATTTGCAGGCAGTGTATAATATTATGGTTGGCTAAACGATTCATGCGATGAAAGCAATGGAAAGAATAGAGAAATAAATTATTTTGACAGTTCACTATTCTTTTAACCTGGGGATATATTCTAAAAAATCCATATTTGGTATAAACTTTAGCAAGATCATAACCATGATAGATACGGCTTCAAACCACAATCACCTAACAAATTATCAACGATATTCTCACAGGCTTCTTCTTCTTTTTTTATTTTGTCAAACACCTCTCAAGTATGTTCTAAATTCTAAAACAAATATTTGATTCATGAATTTCTAATGCCTAAACATATATATATGGATCAGTCTACACTCTTAGCATCTATCAATATATACATATTCATCAATGAATCAAATCCAAATTAAGGGAGATGACACGAGTTAAATATCACCTGAGTAACTTGTGATTCTAGGTTTGCATTCTTCTTCTTCTCAAGACAAGACTTTCATCACCTCAACCTCAAGTATTGAACGTGTTTTTGATTCTTTGTTGCTTGTAAAACATCCAGCACTTGTGTGACATCAGTTCAGACTCCCACTCGGTATCATATGGTATGCCATCGTTGCTTGACCAGACATGAAGATATAACCCATGAACATCAGTAGAAAGTGGACGTTGAAGACTCAGAATTTATTGAGAGAATCATACACCATCTTCTCGTGAAAACGTAGCAGCCAGATGATCAGGAACATGACGGTGAGGATCCCAAACCATTTGAATCTCTCTCCCTCTCTATCTATAGATCTTGTCGTGAGAGAGTAATAAAATGTAAGATCTCTCTCTTTCCCTCTACCGGTGCTCTTTCACCCTCGGTCTCTCTTCTTTCTCCAACTTCTTCTCCTTCCCTCTCTTGTTCATTTTTTTTGTGCTCTCTTCTCTACTTTCTTCTGGTCTTTGTTTCTTCTTCTTTTTTCCTCCGGTTCTCTCCTCCTCCTTTGCCAGTGTTTTTCTTTCTGTCTCCTCCTCCCTATCGTCCTTGGCTCTCTCTTTTTCCAGTTTTGGATCAGTCTCCTCCCACGGTTCTCTTCTTTTTTTCTGTCTCGAACCTATCCGTGTTTCGTGCTCTGTTTTTCTTGATTTTTCGGTCTTTCGTTCTGTCCTCTCTTTTTTTCCTCTTCTCTTCCAGTTTTCCTCTCTTCCCTTCCAGCTTTCCTCTCTTCTCGTCTTAGCTCTCTGTTTCACGACCTTCGGTCATCTCTCCGCTGTCACTGTCTTTCTTTTTTTTCTTCCCTTCTTGCTCTGTTTTTCAGCCCCTTCGTCCCCTCTCGGTTCTCTCTGTTTTTATGTATGGCAGAAAATCTCCTCTCTTCCTCCTCCATCCCAGTCTCTTTTTTTTCTTTTTCGGTCTCTCCTATGCTCCCCCTTCTTTTGTTTTCAGTTTTCTCCTCCCTTTATTGCTCTGCATGCCGCATTTCTGGTTCTGTTTCCTTTTTCTGTTGGCCGAAAGTGTATGTACGTATGCTAGTTGCTTGCTATTCCTTGTGCTCTGTTTTACTGTGCATGCATGCGTCTAATCTCTTTTTGCATTTTTCTCTGTGTGGCTGTATGTTTACGTGCTTCCTTTTACTTTCTTTCTCTGCTGCGTCTGGGCTTTGCTTCTTTTCTTCTTGTTCTGTCGCGTCTGCATGTGCGCGCGCGCTCTGTGCATGCTTGGTTCTCCTTGCTGTGCTTTTCTACTCGCGTGTGGGTGCTGTGTCTGCATTTCGTGTCTCTGCGTTTTGTGTCTCTTTTTCTGCTGTTTTCTTCTTTTTCTGCACATGGCCGAAAGAGTATGTGTGTGCGTGTGTTCTGATGCTCTCTTTTTTTTTTTAGCCATTCTTTAATGCTTTTTTTTTTTGTTAATTAGATTGAGGGAGAGAAAGAAAAGTTTAGTTTTAAAATACATATTTTTAAATGGAAAACAAAAAATTTAAGGAGAGAAATTTAAAAAAGTTGAGTCTCAAAAAATTGATTCCCAATATCTTTGAATGGTTAGGATAATTTAAGAGAGATTTTTTTTTAAAAAATTAAGCAAGATTTTTTTTGAAAATATAATCCTAAAAAGGATTAAATTTTATTTTTATATTTTTTTAATTTTTTATTATTAAAATTAAAAAAAAATGCCCGGATAAAATACGGTGTTCACAGTAACAACCGCACAAAAGTCTTCCTATTTTACTTTAGAACCAACTCTAACCATCCACATCAGGTAAACACTTATAAATACAGGCTACTGTTAATGAGAATCGTGATCATTGGCCAAAGTTGCTGTCATTTACATTATTTGCACACTGAGAGAGGGCACTTGTGAGTTTAATCCATTATCTTTGCACACAGCACATGCAGGACCTGATGCAAAGGCAGGGGTAACTTGACTCTGTTACTCAAATGCCCGTGTCGTGATTTACCCCTCCCCCACATGCAACTAACGTGAATGTATGTCACATTTATGACGTTCCCATCGCGTGCATTTATGAATTGTCACATTTATAGAGCACTCCCTTTTTTTTTTTTTTTTCCTTTGTTCAGCATTATAAACATTTTTTTAATAGTATTATATTTAACAGCATAACATATTTTTGGGTTTTGAAAATGTAATTAATTAATAATATTTTTTAAAAATACACTTAATTAGGAATGTTGTTGATAACGAAAAAAATGTACTCATAATTTTAAATATCATTAATTGACTTATTAAAAATGTAAATTAATTAAAAGTGTCTTATAATTATTAAAAAATAATACATTGTATGCCCATAAAATAAGTGAATTCAATTTGTTTTATGATTTTGAAAAATGACGGAAAATAAAAACCACTGTCAAATAATAATATACTGAGAATTAGAAATACTTTACCGTCTTCGTATATCCCTCATTTTTGTCCCCCAAGAAAAATGCCGCTGCTGATTGAAGGATGGTGCTGCCGCGCGCTGCACGGTTTGCCAGTTCAATTGGAAGTATTTTTAAACACTTTTTTAAATACAAAGTATTAAAAAATGAAATCATGAGATCTCCTGTCATTTTTATATGTGTACATGACTTTCTTCATTTAAAAATATAAAATATTTTTTAAGTGATTAAATATTTTTTATATTTTAAAATGTAATTATTATTTTTTTTAAAATATCTCTATTGAATAATTATTTTATATTTATTTTAAAGTGAACGCTATATTATATAGTGATAAATATAAAAAAATAATTTTAATTTAAAAATAAATTATTTTATTGAAATAAAATTTAATTACAAATACTTTATATTTTTTAAAGGTGTAAGTATTGATTAAAAATATTCTATGTATGGCATAGAAGCTTAAACAAAATCGATTGTTTATGTTTGTCCTAAGCAAAATAATTTATTATAAATTTTATATCCATATTGAGTACTTCTTCTCTATGAAAAAATGTAAGGGATTGAATATTAAGAAATATAAAATAGTTTTAGTATTTCAAAACGTAATTATTATGTTTTTTTTAAAAGTGCTCTTAATAAATCAATTATTTTATATTTATTTTAAAATAAAATATTTAATTAAATAGGAGTAAATTTGAAAAGATGATATTATTTTAAAAATAAATGATCATTTTATTGCATGATAAAATTTAATTTAAAATATCTTATATTTTTTAAAGTAACAAGTATAAATTAGGCTGGCATGCTCGACATCTTGCAAACAAAAATGTGAAGTAGCAATTTTTTTTATTTTTTTTTAAAGTAGAAAAACGCCGAGGCAACGTAAGATAATGAGAGACACTCTGAATAATGTCCAAGCTTAATTATTCACCCCAAAAAAATATAATTAGATCCCAGATAAACAATAATTATATTTTTAGCTTAATTATTTATAAAAAAATCAGTATTTACGGGTCAAAATTCAGTATTTATAAGTATTAATTAATTCTTACAAGCAGTCAAATTTTTATTTAGAACTTACGTACAACTCTCTAAAACAAAAGTCCAGGCTTAAATATTGTAAACACTTAGACCCAAGGCATGTGTGATCCACTATAAATATAGCAAATATCAAAATGTTGATAAAAAAAAATTGAGCATCAGTTGGAAGGTTAACTCTATTGAACAATTAACCAAAAAACAAAAAAAGGACTGAACCCCTTGTTAAAAAAGTTTTTTTTAACGAAGATGACTGGCCAATCATTACAAAATCAGAGTTTCATTATGGTTAAGCAAATAAGGCAGGCACCCCTTCATAAATCTAATCATGCGATTTACAGGCAAAGTGCGGCGCCGCAGGCATCTATATTCGTCAATACCATCTTCCAGGATTATGAGCTCCTGCAATTCTTGGAGGAGCTGCTACTTTGACGGTGGAAGAATCGCGCTGTTGCAATTAGGGAGCAGAGTAATTTGGAATATAAGAAAAAAAAAATTATAGGAATCAGCTTGTAAAATAATCCGAGTAATGGCATTTTAAGGATTAAATCTTTGATGGTCCATAAAATTGACGAGGGGGCAGACCTTACAGCGGAGAACTGAGGTGGGGATGCCGAGAGTATTGGTCCCCGCAGCCACCTGCCCATGAAAAATGGTCGAAATGTTAAATTTGGAATAAAGAGAGAGAGGGAAGGAGGATGAAGGCGACAAAAATAACGGGGGGTGGGTGGAAGCGGTGGGCGCAGAAATCTAGAGACTTGAGCAGCGATGAAATTGTGATATAGCTTGAATTCCAAGTCTTTTCCACGACTCCCTCAACGTGAATAATTCTATTCACATAACTACATAGTTTTATAGGAGGCGCCTACTCTTATTTTTGCAGGAATGTCAGAAGGACTGAAGGAGGTAGTGTTGTTGCTATGCTGTTAAACTTTAGAGGATCTGTTAATTTCTTTTTGAGTTATTTCTGGTTCTTTTTCTCTGAACCTCTCTCTCTGACTCATGGTCCGGCCATACATTTTTATATGCCATTTCTCTGTCTTTATATGCCTTGTTGCTTCCAATACACTTCGAGCTTCGTCTTCGTATCATCTCCAGTGGCGAGAATCGCATTGCTTGTGCGCCAATTCACTACTACTGTACGACCCTCTTTACAGGGCACTTGTCTGTCCCTATTTTGTTTGTCTTCTTGCTAATCCAAGAATATGGTCTGTTGGGTCGCCTTTCACTCTCACCGCCCATTATGGTCTTCTCACGTCTCTCTCTTCCTTGAATCTTTTTTATGCAGGTTTCAAAAAGTAAGGGACTCTTGATTTGAAGTGGGTTTCGGGTTTTCTTTATTTGCTTTAGTCATGGAAGTTTGCTCTATTCTTGAAGTGGATGTAAATGGACAAGAAACCTTCATGGTGGACAAGGTGAGCCTCTTCTCTTCCAACACTGTTTTTGAAATCCGACCTTTGGCTCCACCTTTGAAATTGTATTTTCCCTTTTGCCAAACTTGCCTTTTTATCAAGACGGTCTGGTTTTCTTCATCTGTTCATTTGTCCTCTAATGTAAAAATATGGATCTTTTCCCTTTCTCTCTCGTTTGTTTAGGATCTACAGTGAACGCACACAAGGCCCAACTTTTTCAATTTTTTGTTTGAAGATTTCTCTTTGTGCTGAATGTTCCGACTAGACTCTTGAAAGTTGAAAATGATTACGGTCCAATGATTTACTACCTCTCCTTTTTCCGCAAATTTTTATCCCATGTTTTCTAGTTGTCCTTGGTAATTTCATCTCGTACTTTTCTGCTCATCATTAATTTGCACCTACATTGCAGAGAGGTGGGAGGTGGGGTATGGGTCCAGTAACTGCTATTTTATCATTTCTCTGGCTATAGCAATTATCATCATCTCAAAGGCTCACCCCAAAGCACAAGGCACTTTGTGTTCTTTATTTTTGGTTCTCTTTTTTTGTTTTGGGTGCACATCATATTAATTGCTACTGCCGTGGTTGGCTGGGGTCCTGGGGATTTAATGGTTTTAGTTTTCAATTGTTTTATTCACGTATTTTAAGAGGGGCCAAGGGTTGCTTTCAAAAAATTTCTTTGCCTGCTCCACGATGCTATGCGAGAAAATTCGATGGTGATCCTTCCTGATTGCCCTAATGTATAATTTAACCACCTCTCTATCACCATATTAATTCTTTTGATGATTTAAGACCTTTAGTTGTGGACTTACTTTTCATATTCCTCCCTCGTTTTCTTTCTCGTGTGTCTGCTTTTCAGCGATTCCATGTTTCTGGTGGGTTATTTTGACATTGATCCAATTTTTTGACATTGCGTACATTTTCTCCCCTTCACGTGTGACTCTGTTTGGAACGGGTCTAATTTGCAGGATGTCATTGCTCAGTATTCGGGTAAATTCTCAAAATTTTTTGGCAAATCTACCAGTGGCAGCACCAGAAAGCTTAAAGTAATATTCCATGACTTTCCAGGTGGTGCAGAAGGTTTTGAGCTCATGTTAAGATTCTGTTATAGTAATGGAACAACAGACATAACTCCTGCCAATTCGATCCTCGCTCATTGTGCTGCTGAGTTCATGGAAATGAAAGACTCTGTGCCTGGGGGTTCTAATTTACTGGCGCGAACTGAAAAATCACTCCAGGAGACTAGCTATTGGACATGGTCTGACCTTTTGATTGCCTTGAAGCAGTGCCAGAGTATAGGGTTAGTGTCAGATTCTTCTTTGATGCTAGAAAAATGCTTGGATTCACTTGTTGGGAGGCTGGTTTTAGCCTGCGAGGCAAGTCCATGCCCATCTACTTGTTCTCCAGACAGTTTTGGGTTTCGGTTTTCATGCGACTCTAAAAGCACTGAGAGTATCAAGACAAATTTCTCTCATTCAACGTGGTGGTTTGAAGATCTAGTATTTTTGAGCCCCTTGAACATTGAAAAGTTGGTGCAATCAATGCTTGTGAGAAAATTGGACCAAGCTGTGATAAGTAGGTTTTTGTTGTTTTATCAAAAGGCCAAGTTTTCCACTGCTACAACTGATGAGAAGCGCAAGATCATAGAAATGGTGATAGATATGCATTGCAATATGGATCAGAGTATTGTGTCCTGCAAGACCTTGTTTGGGATTCTCCGACTCACATTAGGTTTGAACATAAACAAGTGCAGAAGGAATAAGTTAGAGAATATGATTGGTTCCCAGTTGGATCAGGCGACCTTGGACAATTTGCTCGTTCCATCTCCTTATGGAATAAGCTACTTATATGATGTGAATCTTGTTCTGAGATTTCTGAAAGCATTCTTACGTCAAGGGGGAACCTGTCTAGTAACTCCCATTCGAATGAAGAAGGTAGCTGCCTTGGTAGATTTGTATGCAGCAGAAATAGCCCCCGATCCTTGTTTGAAACCTTCCAAGTTCATGGCCCTTGCCACAGCACTGCCTGATTATGCAAGAGACTCATATGATGAACTCTACCATGCAATGGACATGTATCTAAAGGTAACCAAATTTTCTTCTTTTATTCTTTCTTTATTCATACTCCAAATTTCGTTTTGAATTTGAAGTCTCTAATTCCTGTCACATCGTTAGCTATTTGATTAAAGGGAGAGATTTGGATCTTTTTCTATTCTTCGCCTGACATGTTAAAGTGACATCTTAGTGATATTCAGAAAATGTTGACTGGACTGCTTTAGAAATTTAATCTAGTTGAACAATTTGAACTAAATGAGTTTTATTATAGGTTCACGCTGGATTGTGTGAAGAAGAGAGGATGAGAATAAGTTGTGGTCTAAATTACGAGAAGCTTTCAGTTGAGGCTTGCCTACACCTTTCTCAAAACACAATTTTCCCCTCAAATTCTGCTGTTCAGGCTCTCATTTCTCAGCAGTCCAAGCTCAACAACTTGCTCCATGGTACACCAACAACTCCATGTTCTACTTCTTTCACTGATTCGCCTTGTAGTTCTAGTGATGCTGGTAAAAAGGGAAGGAAGGACAAAGCTGGCGAACAGGTTGTTCTGTATTCTGGGAAATTTGATGTTTCAGCAGATAATGAGAAACTGGGAGCACGTTTGCAAGGAATGCAGTGGAGAGTTATGGAATTGGAGAAAATCTGTAGGAAGATGCAAACCCAGATGGCAAAAATATCAAAATCAAGAGCATCAGGGAATAGTTATGCAAGATCCTTGCCCAAGCTCTGTTCGTGACAGAGACTTTTGGGATTGAATTATTTTTCTAACTTAAATGTCAAATTTGTACAGCAGAGGAATGAGGCTTGTGTTTGTTAATGCATCTTTCCTGCACAACTGAAGTTGATTGGGTGTGTGTGTGTGTATATATATATATTTATGATCATGTTTACTTAGGGAATCTCTAATGATTGTACAGTCACGAAATAAGAGTCAAGTTTGCAAGAATATCATGTTAGCAACAGTTAATTCTCAATCAATGCATTTTCTATATCTCAGCATTTCTTTTTCCCACTAAGTTTGAACATATAAAAACAGGAACGAATAGATAACACCCCCATATAGGCAGCGTCTATTGTTTTAGATACATTTGATGTATTCAAAATGTTAACATTTGTCCTTCTCAATGTTCAACATGGTTCTTGAATTGGTCACTCTTGACTTAAACTTCCATTCAGCTGATGAGCAAACAGAGGAGCTGCCAGATGGTTCCAGCCGTTATTGAACTAATAAAATTATGGTTAGTTCGCTTACCACAAGATGAAGACAATGTAGTAGTTGGATTCATTCTCTTGAGGTAGACATCATTATAAAGTGTGTAATATAGGAAGAGAGGATCACGAACGTCGTTAAGGTAATCACCAACCTCCACTATCAGAGATTGCCCCCTTGAGGACTTTCAATAAACAATTGCATGAACAAATTTGTTTATAGTATATGAACTGACCCTAAATACCTTTGGGATTAAGGATTTGCTCAAGTTGAGTCAGGTCAGATTCCAAACCTCTCCAGAAGAAGTGCAGCTGTCCATCGACGACCTAAGTAGCAAATAATAAAAAATGTCACTAAAAGAGAACTCTTGCAGTAACAGGCATGAACAAATTTCTGACTAATCCACCTGAAAGGAAGTGGATGAGGTTGGTGTGATGAGTCTCACATGAGGAAGCTACATTGATGAAGTGTGGTTTATAAGTCAATTAAACACCCTCCTCCTCTGAGGTGCTTTTTGGAGGTCAGTTCTACCCAGATAGCTTGTGGTCGTGACATTAGTGTTCTCGTTGAGAGTTGCCATTCGCGAAAAGGATTACTCACGGAGGGGTTGACCTGCTGAAGGCCAAATGAAGTGCCATGGATTGTGAGCCATTGCAGACATCCCCTTGAGGGGTGGACTATATCATGAGTTTCATATTGGGAGACCACATTAGTGGAGTGTGGTTTATAAGTTAACTAGACACCCTCCTCCTATGAAGCGCCTTTTGAGAGTGAGTTTTACTCATATGGCTTGTGATCGTAACAATTGGACTCAGTTTGACCACATTAAACATTGTCTAGAATAGATGCTTTGACAACTGATTGAAATTTATTGTTTTGTTTCCCTTAGTCTGACCAACATTCGCACAGCACATGCTGTTGTGGGGCTAAGCATGGAAGCAACTGGAATCGTAATAAATATAGTGGAGCTGTGGTGAATGTTTTCTTCCCTTTCTTGATAGTTTTGAGAAGAAATGTATTTTGTCGTTTCTAAAAGATGCATCCTCAATTATTTAGTTCTTAAAACTTAAAAGGATACATATTTAGTTCCTAAAGGCTGAGGGAGTAAAAAGTCGGAGTAGCCAGTGTTTAAAATTAAATAAACGACCATGTACAGGCTTTCACCTAGAGGAAGAGAACTAGATCTAGAGGTCCCAAATTGGCCACTCATGTTGGTGAGAGAAACCCCATCGCTAGTTGCCTGAAGTTGGGTTAGCCGCGCAGAGAACGAGTTCGGTGCTATGGCCATCATAATGAAGAACCCATAGATGGTGAAAGTATTTAGAAAAGCAAAACTATCCACTATCTAGAGACATTTATTTTTTAGTAGTGACTAGTGAGGATTCAGATCCCTGCCCCACAGTTCCACACATTGGGCAAAGTGTCCTTTAAGAAAAAACAGATCTCACTTAGTATTTAATTTAATCTCTTCTTTATATGCAGCTATAACGAAAACATGATTCCCTATTTCGTAATTCTAAATGTTCTGAATCTTTTGACTCCCATAAGATAAGTAATAATCAACCGATGGGCGTTCTAGCTATAGGTATATTTGAAGTCAGCAGAAAAACAAGATGCACAAAGCTCGTCATGAAGAAAGGCTGGTGTAACGTTCAGGTTTGCTTGGCTCAGCTCTGTGGAGATGATGAGCATGTGCCGTTAAAAAGAGGCTGTAGATACTTGAATCAATAAGGATGAATTGAAAATCCAAATAAAGGAAAATAGTAAAAGATTGTTCAGGTAATGCAAACAGATAACATTTAGGGTCTGAGGAGTAATGCGGATTCGATTGTTGACAACTTGTCAAAAACTCTTGTTTAATACAGTCAATTGATTACTTTAAAGTTTCAATAGAAGCATGGCATTTCACCGATTACAAGACGTCTCAAGTAAGAAAATTGACAAGATTAACGTCGGCTTCAAGTTAGTTTTATTCAAAACAACTAACCTGTTTTTAATAAGACATTGCTTTTAGTTTTACCCTTTCGGCAGTACCTAGGCACTCCACATGTGGACAATAGGGCGGTCTATCTTTTACAGTATGAGCATTTTTCTAAACAGTGAGTATGAAGACTTGTGCTAAAGATACAGAGTGTATAAATACAGGGGGCTGTGTGTGTGTGAATACTCGTGACGAAAATAATTACAGTAAATTTAGAGAATAATTTCCATAAATTAGATTACGAGTGTGTACATATTAAGGTCTTTCCGGTCATGAGGAATTTTGGTCAATTTCTTGGTTATTTGACCCCGGAGGCCATATCTGAGGCAACCAAGAAATTAAGCATCCGAATTATCTGATTGATTCACTAATCATTTACGGGCTCCGAATGCATCAGTGGTCAGGTTATTTATTTAACCATATTTTAGTGGTTAAAAGTAAACAGGCTTTCTCTCAAACTGTGGGCTGCAAGTACTATCATGGGCTTTACAACCAAGCCTGTTGTTCTATTAATGATGCGACGAACGCTGGGGAATTTGTGTCTGTTTGGTGCTACTTGTGATCTTGTATTCTTGCGTCCTCCTCTGCTCTTTGGTCTAACTCAACATCATGGTTATTGGTCACATCTACTTCAAAATTTTGGATTATCCACAACTAACTTTGAGCACTACATTTGTTAGACAATATTCTAATTCAGTTAGCCCTATATTGAATTAAAACGTGTAAACTCTAATAGTGCTTCTGATTGTCATAGTGTATTTTTATCAATTAAGAAAACCAGTAGTTGCCACTGAAAATACCCAAGTTGTCTTTATGGCCAGAAAAATAAAAGATGTCTCCAATCAATCTTAGCTGCCCTGAGCCAGAAAGGATGAGTAATGGCCGTTTGTTTTAGCTTTTTTCAAAAAAAAAAATCAGTTTTTTAAAAATATTTTATGAGTTTTTATGATATTTGTTTAAATTGTTAAAAATAATCAGAATTTGAAAAAAATTATTTTTAATTATTTTGGAAGTTACTTTAAGTAGCTTCTAAAAGTAATATCTAGAAATAATTTAATGTACTAAATGAGAAAAAATATTTTAAAGAGGTGGGATACACGAAAATATCACAAAATGTTAAAATAATATAATAAAATATTTTTATAAAACAAAAATCAAGACATTATAAAATTTAAAATAACTCACTAATAAATATTTTTTATTATTGTAACCAAACATAAAAGAAGATATACTTTTTATAAAATTTCTACAAAATAAAGCATTTTATAAAATCTTTAAACTATCTAAAAATAACTTATTTTTTAATTTTAAACAAATGGACCTAAAACCAGTCAAGCGGGACAAACGCTCAACTGGGTCAAGATCAACTCTGATGGTGCTATGAAATCAAATCGAAGAGCTAGCACGGTGACACAGCTTGGATTGGAGAGGAGCCTGTAGAGAAATTGGTTGGTTGCTCCACTAATCCAACAGAACTGGGTTGTTGAAGTTAGTCATGTATGTGTGTTGAGAATGTAATGCATGTGCAACCTAACTTGCTAGTTACGCTTCAATTTAGTTAGTTTAGCTTTTGGTTATCCTCATAGATGGGGGTGTGCACAAAAAGCCATCAGCCTAAATAATTTAAGAGTTTCTCAGAGGATAGAAGGAAGAGCTTCTCTCCATCTTACCTCACTAGGTCCGGAAAGCCCAGATGTAGAATTTAAGAGTTCCAACAAATCATGTGTGAAAAAAATATCAACATCTTGGGTATGCTTCATGCCTGATGAACACTCCACTCGCGTCCGATGGCATCTTTTCCTACTGTTGATTTTCTCCTTTGATAAAATTGACCCTTGAACGCGAACAGGACCGTATACGTAGGAACAAATGGGTGTCCGTTTCAGTTTTTCGATTGAAGAACAAATTAAGTTTTTTTTTTTTTAAATGCCGAGAACAAATTAAGTTGATTTAGATATGAAGATCCCCCAGAAAACCGGTTCACATTCGTGTGTGTGTGTGTTTGAGATTTCTAACAAACCCAAGGCTATATTTTTGGCCAAAAGTGGAAAAATTAACAGTCACCTGACGCAAAAGCCCAGGGCTAGAATTATTGCCAGCGAAACTTGGAGTAGCTGGGAGAACAAATTAATAATGAAGAAATATTGATCTTTTCAACCGTAATTATGTCAATGTTTCACGTTTTTGTGCGTGGGATGAGGTAGCACCGCGAGGGGCGGCTCGATCTAAATCAGGACCCATGTTGCCTTTTCGTTTTTATTAATTCCGTAGAATCTTTTCCTATTGTTTTAATTATTTATATATACATATATATTTAAACTCGCTCGAGTAGAGTGACTGACACCAAGCATCTACCTACTCCAATTTTTCAAACGCCCGTCGCACGTGCCTTCCCATGCCTCGCTATTACAAACATGTTCTGCATTATTATCCATATTCATGCATCGTGACTGAACCGAGAAAAGAAATCACAGATCTTGGAAAGCAAAATTCCGACACATCGTATAAAAATAAAGACAATCCTGGAAAGAGGGGAAAAAAAAAAAGCAAAGAGAGAGAGAGACATTACAGTAATCCCATGTCACAATTTTTAAGGAATTTATTATTAAATAGTATTCCCTTCGTTTCTATTTAGTAGGGAAACTATTACTTTTAATTTTTTAACAAGCATATATTTTTAATTTTTTAAATTCTCTTTTATAATTTACATTAAAAAAATAATTAAAGTATACTTATGTTTATTAACATAGAATTTTTTAGTTTCAGATATTTTTTTATAGTTAATTAACTTTTTAAAATTGTGTATGTAGATTTATATATATATATATATAAAGAGAGAAAGAGTGATTAGTTGATGTGATCAATAAATAATGCAATATTACTACATTGTGGGTTTGTTAGCTCTTTAACTCCATCCCCACGCACGTGATCATTTTTCCTTGGATGCCAGTCCGTGCAGCTTCCAACTCCATGAATGAATTTATACACTCACGTCTCCCTGCTGTGATGGGATTTAATGCTCGCCTTATTATTATTATCATTATTATTTTTGAATATAAGAATACGGAAAACTATATAAAAGATGGACAAAATTAAATCATATCAAATTTTATAAGAGATCTGCATGCTTGAGTTATTATAGACAATGAGATTAAGATTATTTTGAGAGGTTTGATAAGCGGGCATATCCGCACATCTAGTTGTTTTCCTAAACATGTGTTTGAAGATAATAATCCAATCTTTTATGATTAATTTTCTGACATTGTTGATAATACCAGAGAGAGAATGGTTATCAAGAAAATTATATTGGATAAGTGAGAAAGCTTCTGCAGAATCAGAGTATATGTTGATTTTATTAAACCAAGCATTCTAACAAAATTGAAGCTCTTTTAAAATGTTTAAGGGTTTTGTTGCAGTGTTTAATTGATAATTGAGATATTTAAAAATTTTTTAATTCAATTATTTTTATCATCTCTTCTAATTCCATGACAAATTATAGCTCGGATGAAATTGACAGCATTATCAGTGTCTGAGGCGAACCTAACCTATTTTTGAGATGTCCATGGTGCCTCCAACCTTTTGCAATGCTTACCTTGTTTTCGAGGTCCTCCAAAAGCAGTGCGTTCCCACTTCTAATGAATGAAACTGAAATTGATTTGATCACTCCTATTTTTCCCCCACTGAATTTTGGCATTTGGGAGGAGTGAGGTAAGCCACCGGCTTCCAAGCTTTTAACAAAACACAAACTGCAGCAAGAAACCATCATGAAATGAAACTGCAGCAGCTGCAGAACTGGGGTGCCCTCTCTCTGATGTCCATCACACCTCACTTTGTTTAAATGGCTTCACTTTTCTGGCAGGTTAGGTGCACTGAGAAACCCCACAGAAATATCTCAATCTAACTGGGGTCTGGGGTTCCCACATTTTTACAGCCGATACTGTGGGAAACTTTTGCGACACGCATTCGGAATCAAGGATAGCAAACTGTCTCCGCCCTGCTTCTCTCCTTTATTCATGGATTTTCACGCCCATCAACAAATTATACTCAGTCTGTGCAAAATACTCACTTCATTAAAAAAATATAAAATATTATTTAAAAAATTAAATATTTAGAAATATTTTTAAATTATTTAAAATATAATTATTATTTTTTTAAAATGTCACTATTGATAATAACTTTATATTTATTATAAGATATTTAATAAAAATAAATATAAAAAAATAAAATTAGTTTGAAAGTAAATAATTACTTTATTGATGTAGTATTTGGTTAAAAATGCCTTATATTTTTTTAACAAAGTAAGTAAGTTATTTTATAATTATTTTAAAATAAAATATTTTATTAAATAAAAATAAGTATAAAAATATAATGCTAATTTAAATAGAATTAGTTTATTTTATAATGATGACAATCAATTAGGAATACTTTAATTCTCTTTTTACTGGGGAAATATTTATGTAGGCGAGGAGTTTAAATGAAAATATTCATCTCAGTAGCTGCATTTGTAACCCCGGACAGAAGAGATTGGATGGGGGACAGGATTCGAATATAAAAATAGAACCAAAATAAGGGTCTCTGTCTGTCCAATTAAAAAAATAATAATGGTTTCTGAAATCCCAAATGTGCGAACACCCACTTGCCCATCACCATTAAGATCTCATCCAATATGATATGCCTTTTAAATGCAAAACGTTCTCTGCTTGTTTGTATATTCTGTTCCATTGCCCAACATCCACGCAGGTGTCCGTGTTTTCCTCCTCCTCCTTCTTCAAACAAAAAGACCGGATTCGGGAATGTGAGACGCTTGAGTATTATTTATCATTTATGAATATTACAATTTTTTATAAATTTTGTATTACATGGGAAATTTATAAAATACAAGCATCTATTCATGGTCAGGTGCACAAATGAATAGACGTCGTCACTTATATAAACAATATTAATTACATATAATGTGATCAACCTAATATTCAATATAGGGTACAATATAGGGTACAATGCACTGCACACGTGCCTTTTAAAGATATAAAATGAAGCCAAAAATAAATAAAGGACCATGGTATAATTTTATTCTTAAATTATTTTTAGATAAGCAATGTTGTTCTTAAACCACTTATCGTATCAATTTTACCTCTAAACTAATTAAATCAAAATAATATTGCCCCTGTTGTTTAAATGTTCATTAATTGTAATTAATGGGATTCACTTTTTATGAGTTAAGATGTAATTTTACATTTAAACTACTCTCAAAGGAGTGATATTGTTCTCATAATTTCAAAATCATAAACGTCTATTAATTATAACTAATGAAACTTACTTTTCAATATCTTTCTCCAATTAACATTGAATCAAGTCAGGATTTTGAGTAGATTATGACATTTCAATTGCTAAATTAGTTTTTAGGTAATCATTTTATGATGACCTACATATATGCTTTTTTGTTTATAGTGCATATGAGAGAATGTGTTTATTTATGATAGTCAACTTTATAGGTTGATTCATTTAAGATAATGAGAAATGATTTTTTCACCTTGAGAATATTGTTTATATGCCTTTTTGTTAGATGAAGAGCTCATTTTGTAATGTTGTCAGCATAAATTTATATGCTAACTATCTTCATGTTTATCATTGAAAAAAATTAGTATAAAAATTAAACTTTCTTCTCAATATATAGTTCATGACTTATTGAAATGTTGATAGAGAATATTATGACATAAATAAATACTTTCACATGAACATTGAATGTTAGGAAGGATGTGAATGGAATAACATTAGCATAAAAAATATTTATTATTATTTTTTTAGTTAACAAACATTTATGACTATTAAATAATGAGACAACATTGCCCTGATTTAATTAATTTGGGAGGATATTCCTTGAGAATAATTTAAAAGTAAAATTACACTTTACTTTATAAAAAGTGATATCATTAGTTACAGTTAACAAATATTTAAATAACAAAAATAACATTATTTTAATTTAATTATTTTAAGAATATTATTGTTATGATGAATAATTTAATATTAACATTACTCATTTAAAAATAATTTAAAAATAAAAATATCCTTTAACTCATAAATAAATAAATAAATTCAACCCTGCTTTTTTGAATGTTCCTATAAAGTGTAAGCTAAACTTTTTCAAAATTAGAGTAAAAAACTTTGTTTAACGTCTTGCATGTTATTTTCTTCCATGATTATTATATTAATTTCATACGTATCAAGTACTAAGGTGGGGAAGGTCCTGCAAGGCATTTACTGTGAAGGGAAAGGGTGCACTGCAACAGTGGGGCCTAGCACTAGTGGCGTCCAGCTGGAAATGCTGTGATGAAAGCACATAAATCTAAATCGTAAAAGGGAACGTCCCACGCCACCCCGATATCATTAAAACAAGACACCGAGCATTCATGGGCTTTGGATCTGCATAACCTCTAAGGATTCAAACGCTTGGGACAAAAAAGCTGGACCTTTGTACGCCTCATCCTTATACTGCCAACTGGACACTCCCACCTTCCAGCTGTCTTCCTCCACGTGTCCTCCTTTTATTCGCTGCCATCATCTCTCATTCCCCACCACTCCCCCACTCAACCTCTGACACTTCACAGCTTTCGCCAGCTATCTGTGGTCACCGGTCACCCCATCAACGGCTATTTTTTTTCTCTCTTTCCTCGGAATTTGTTGTCCCTCGTGGCATATGACGTGGCTATTGGGATAGGGGCTTCCGGCACAAGATCCTTTTTTGAAGTTCTTGATGGTGCCTATAAAACCCGGCACTCCCTGCTCCTTCTCATACAGCAGAAGCTTTCCCATTCGTCTATTCTCCTTCTCAGTCCATCTCTCTGCATTTTTCTGTATTCATGTCTAGAATGTGTGGTTTCTTGGGATTCTTGGTGGGTCTTCTGTTGGCCGGGATGGCTTCCTCTGCCAAGTTTGATGAACTTTTCCAGCCAAGCTGGGCTTTAGACCATTTCATGTATGAAGGAGACCTTGTCAAACTCAAACTTGACAACTATTCCGGTAATTATCTACCTTTTCCTTTTCCTTCCTGGACCAAATAAAGAAAACAAAAACCCACCTCTATTCTGAGGCTTGAACACTCCGATACAAATCATCCCTGAATGCCGAACTGCGTGCGTGCGTGCGTGCGTGTTTGTGCTTTTTGTATTTTTTTTATTTTGGTAAAAAAATTTTGCCGGATCGATATCTCATAATATTCCTAGTTTGCACATTTCAGGTGCTGGTTTTGCTTCTAAAAGCAAGTATATGTTTGGGAGAGTGAGCATTCAGCTCAAGCTCGTGGAGGGCGACTCTGCTGGGACTGTGACTGCTTTCTATGTAAGTGAATGCCAGCAGCTAATATTTTTCTTTTCAAAATACGCGCTTAATCCTTTTCTATTTTTATGTGGAGATTATTACTGCCGCACTACCAACGTATTGATTGCTCTTGGACCGATCATTTAAATAGCTTACGTACTATTCAGCTGCATGCATTGAACATTTACCGGGAACAGACAAAATAAACTTCGGATTTATCCTACACTAGCGCGATACATCTGCCTACTCGTTCCGACCCGTGAATGACTTTATATCCAATTAATCAAGCATTTATCAGTTTTGTCGCTAGCTACAGTCCCGGACTGGATACATGTTCGAATTTAACTAAGTAGTCTGTTTAAGATTCGCATAAATGTTTTGTTCAATAGACCTTTTTCTGTCATTTGTCAATGACCATAGTAGCTGAATGACTGACCCAGCTGTGACCTATTCGGTTGATCCAGATGTCATCGGACGGCCCAAATCACAATGAATTTGATTTCGAGTTCTTGGGCAACACGACGGGTGAACCATACTCAGTTCAGACGAACGTGTACGTGAATGGTGTGGGTAATAGAGAGCAGAGACTCAACCTCTGGTATGACCCCACCAAGGATTTCCATTCATACTCTGTCTTCTGGAATCAGCGCCAAGTTGTGTAAGCACTGAGATCTTAATCTCTGTTGTGCGTTCTGGTTTGCGACGAAGATGGGCTGTGTTCCCAGTGTTCCATAAATGAAAAGAGAAAAGGGGCTATCTTCACATGGATACGGATGAGAAAGCTGTAATGATAATATGCTTGCTTTTTTTTTTTAAAAAAAAAATATTGGTCTTTCAGCCATGACATGGCTTGGAGCGTTGTGTCCCCATCGGGTCACATAGCAACAAGCTCCTGAATAAGAAGGAATATATAGGACATTTTAAGCCAATGCCCTGATGGTTACAGGACATTGCAGAGAAAGGGGGGAGAGTCAGACGTCTATTTCCTTTGTTTCTGGCAATTTCATTGGGAGATAGCTGTATCTTTTACCATTATTTTGGTTACGGTTACCATTACCATTATTCTAATTCTAATATTGCGGTTGATGTGACCAGATTCTTAGTGGACGAGACCCCGATAAGGGTGCACACAAATTTGGAACACAAAGGCATTCCATTCCCGAAGGACCAAGCGATGGGAGTGTACAGCTCAATTTGGAACGCAGACGACTGGGCGACTCAGGGGGGTCGAGTGAAGACGGATTGGAGCCACGCGCCATTCGTAGCGACGTACAAGGAGTTTGAAATCAATGCATGCGAGTGTCCAGGGGCGGTGGCGACGGCGGATAACTCGAAGAGGTGCAGCAGCAGCGAGGATAAGAAGTATTGGTGGGACGAGCCTACGTTGTCGGAGCTGAGTGTTCATCAGAGCCATCAGCTCAAGTGGGTGAAGGCCAACCATATGGTCTATGACTATTGCTCTGACACCGCCAGGTTCCCGGCCACTCCCGCCGAATGTGTCCACCACCGTCACTATCACTGATGAAATCACCCAAATCTTCCAACATGTTCTTCATGTTGTATCGTGTATTATATTTTCCTCCTATTTTGTGAATGGGCACTATTTGTTGAGTCGTTTCCTGTTAAATCTACCTACTGAATTCGTAAATTTTACTACTCTCCTTTGGTCTCTGAAATCGCTTTACCGTGTGGGTTCCACGATCAAACATTCAAATACACATGCCTCCGAATGGGAATTGGGGCCGGGGTACCACGAAGCTCACGGGTTGCCCTGGGGACCAGGAAGAGAGAAGATATCTTTTGGTGCTACGAAAATTTAGATAAACGGGAAAGAGCACTGATTGAACTCGGGGAAACGTTCGTTGCCTTTAATTTACTGTGTGCCTGCTTCCTTTGTCAATAAAAATTAGTGAAAAGTACGAAAAAGAGCGCTGATTGAACTCAGGAAACGTTCGTTGCCTTTGATTTACTGTGTGCCTGCTTCCTTTGTCAATAAAAATTAGTGAAAACGTACCGCTTGGATGAGTTCAGAATATCGAATTATACTTCAGTGTTAGAATTAAATGATTTGTAAATGCAAAACTTTAAGGTTATTTTCAGTGGTTTGATATGATAATACTCTTCCTTGATTTGTAATTTTTGTGGTGACTAATTTACAAATGAGATTAGTCAATTTATGGAAAAAATTAACTTGTTTAAACATATGATGATTTGTAAAAAAAAAAAAATTGTAATCGTTCAGTTGCAACTGTGATTCATTATTTTTACTGTAAAAACATTTATAAATCAATGAATCAAATCATTAAAGGATATCTTTCATTGTTATTTGAGATTTTCTTAATTTTTTGTATCCTTAAATAAGAGTAACTCGATCCTGTAGTTCTTCAATGTCATCTCCCCTTGATTTTTGTAGTCGATCAAGTTATGAAATAGTATCGCACCCTTCTCTGTTTTGCGTGATGGAACGGGGAGATTTCGAGACCACTGTTTCTTAAAATCAGGCGTTTTACTTTTTCAACTTTGACAACAAACATGTGAATTCACGTAATTAATCCCTTGCAAGAAAGATTGGGTCCTTCCACTGCGCGGAGCTTTGACGCATTGAAGTCTTCTTTCTTTAATAAGGCCGACCTGAAAGGGTGACTATGGATTTACACACTGGAAAGACTATGGTTATAACTATGGACCTCATTCAACGAGTGATGGCGGAATGGTTGACTGGGCCCCTTTTTTTAAAAGCCTTTTGCCAATTCGAATGATTCACTTGTGGGTCCTACATTGCATGACTATGATAACACGACATGATGAATTTCTAAAGGAAAAGCAAAAGCAGGGGAACTGATTTGTATTGCAAATACCAAAAGAAACTTATCATATCGGCACATCCATTTTGACGACTTAGATTAACTTTTTCACTCATACAATGCGTTCGACCTTGGAATCGTTCCGGGGAAGAAAATTTATAAAAGTGAACTTTAATCATGTTGATTACTTTGTGGACATGGCATCATTCGCGATCAGTGAAATCCATGGGCAGATCTGCAGAGCGTGTAGCAGGATATATGAATAAGATATTGGAGCGAGCATCTCTTTTATCTAATTCGTGTCTGCCACTAGCAATGTTTCATCCAAGTCTATCAAAGGGAATAGGCTTGTGCCTTGTGCCCAGGAAGAGATCAGACATCAAAGAATAGAATGTTATCCCCATGGATGACGCAAAAGGCAGAGCACACGAGGACAAAAGCCGAGGTTACAGACACAGTTTTGGGCTCGAGTTGGGGAAATCAGTCCAAGACACACAAATGAAGTTTCAACTTCTATCGTCCAGAAAGGAGGAACGAGGGAGAGATCGGTGAAAAAGTTGCTTGGGGTTGAAAGAGCAAGCAAAATTGAAAGCAAGACAGGGCCAGGGGAGCAATCAATTGACGTGGACATTGACCGGACCCCCCCTCCTCCAGGGTTAATTATTACCAGTGACACAGTGTCACAAGCGCTTGATTAGTGCACGGTTTTTTTTTTTCAATCAATTACGCGGACGCTTGTTATTAGTTTTTTTTTTTTCCTTTTTTTGTTGCCAGGCTTATTATTAGGTTCGATTAGCAAGATCAAAAGATGGAAGGTGGATTCTCTATTAACAAAAGAGGAGGGAAAAGCTTCCAAAAGACCAGACTTTATGCACATAATTGAGCTCTGATTCCCACTCTTACGTATGCTAATTGCGATGCAATCAAAGATCGTAATAACTTTTTTTATTCAATAAGCAATGGTTATTATTATTTTTAAGGTGGCATGTCCAATCTAGGTTATAGTATTATGTAAATAATAAATATGTGCTCATGGGATCATTTGCCAAAGGAGGTTTTTTTTTTTAGTTAGGGATATTTTTGACCTCGAATTATTTATGCAGGATCAATGGGTGTTCTAAATTTGACAGTCTTTTTTGTTTCCAATCGTTTAAAAACCCGTCCTGTTACTATCATGTTATTAATGTGTCTGTCAATTTTTTTTTTTGGCAAAATATGTACATGCAACACATTATATGTTAGTTAAGGGTTATTTTTATTTTTGAGATATTCACTCAGGGACATCTGCTGTTCTTATCTCAATTTTAGAGTATTTTCTCTTTTAAATGTTAAAAAACTTAACTATACATGTCTTGTTGTTAACATGCCATATACATATGTTAACTGAGCTCTGATTGCCACTCAAATGTATTCTAATTGCTATGTAATCAAATTCCGTAATAATTTATTTTGTTTAATAAGCAATGGTTATCATTATTTCAGAGCTGGCATCTCTAAGTAAGTCTATGTTATACGTAATTAATAAATATATACTCATAGGATGACTTGCCAAAGGAGATTTTTTTTTTCCCCATAAAGAAAACATGTATCTTAAAAGCCAATGATTGTAGTTAAGCAAAACAGGACAGGCATAACGCTCAAAAGTTAAACCTAATGATAAAGCAGACAGGTTCAAAGGAGCAGGACAATAAGTCGGCGAAAAAAAGGATATGAAATTTCACTAAAAAAAATAAAAGGGCTGGTGAAATTGCCATGATGATGGGAGCCTTGCCTTTCGGTTTAGTTGAGAGGGTAATTTACTTTTTACATAAAGCTGACATTTTTTTTTTTTTACCAAGCATGACTATGAGACTGAGAGCCAGCGATAAGCTGTTCCATAATTGAAAAGCGAAGAATATCTGTTTTAAATACTAAAAAATGAAAATGCAAATGGTCCTTCAAAGTTTTTTTTTTTTTAAATAATCCCTGGTATTTTATTCCGCCAACTTCAGTAGGATTCAGTTGAAAAATTCTTAAGTGAACAGAGTGCGGTATATTATTTATAATTCATCTAATCAAATTATATTAATTTAATTAAATAAAATTTTATGTGTCATCATTTTTTCATGATTTTATTATTAGATTACTTACTTAATTTGTTGCCTTTTCTTTCTTTATTATTATCGATATCAGAACTAATTTATATTTAATACATGTTTTGATTGAATAGATCATAGATAACATAATGTACCCGATTCATCTAATAATTTCTTGAAATAAATTCAGTCATGCGTGTCTAATAAATCCATACCAAATAATTGTATATTTATGTGATCCAGAAATCAAATAATTGGAACGGAATAAAAGAAATATAATACGGGATCTTTTTATTGTTTTCACGGAATGAGAATGCATGCATGCAAGTATATCATTAGATAGGTTTAGAATATATGTAAAGATAATGGAAAATGGAATTGAGATACATTCAAAAGTGAAGAAATCTCGAATCATGGATCACTGAAAAATGCAACGTGGGTAAACTATTTTTCATGTAGCAGGGGAAATGGGTAATTCATCCTCAAGGTTAGTTAACCCAACTTTTAACTTTCACATGTATGTGAATATTGATCATTTTTTTACCCCCCCTCCCTTCAAGAATCTATATATATTGGCTGATTTAAATTTCAGTTTGATATAATTGATTACAGAAATAATTAATTAACATGATTGATTTTAATTATAATTGATTATATTATAAAGTATTATTTTTTTAAAATTAATTTTAGCCATATAAATTATTATAAAAGACATTGCTATTTACAATTAAATTATTAATAAAGTTATATTTAATATTATTAAATTTGTTAAATTTTTTTAAAACAGTAAAATATATTATTTAACAGTAAAATTGAATTTATAAGTAATCTTTCAGAATTTATTTCAAAATGGGATTCTAGTTTAATAATCAATTATTCAGTTTTTTAGCTGTTTAGTTAACTTTTACTAAAATCAATTATTTTATCCCAAAAATCTATTGTATAATCTATCCAAACAGGCTGTATATCATATTTGTTATTGTTATATAACACCAAAGGAGTCACAATGCATGTGATTGCGCGGCCATCCTGGACGACGCTTGTTTTCGCTCTACCTATCAGATCAATTTTTTTAAATAAAAAAATAGTACACGATTTTCTAATAATAATTTCACGATGATATATAATTTTGTTATGATACGGCATGTCTTAATTTTCAAAAGAAATCACATGATTTTCAAGTCTTCACATTCCATGGTCGAACCTTTTTATTTCTTGTTTACACATGCCACGGGTTAAATTTGACGATAAAATGATAAACTCATTTAGATTCAGTCCAAAACTCCAAATAAAAATGGTGCGATTAACAGCAACGCCAACCCAATGGCAAACCCCTCCAAAACCAGAGCCCCGTTTCCTTTAATTTTACTCTGGGCCTTAGCCCTAAGAGAATAAAAGGAATCTTCTCAGAGGCCCAAAAGTATTTCCGTTGCTGCTCAGATTCTGAGTTTTCCTGATAGATTTTTTTTTTCTTTAAAAATATGTGTGAAGCAGGCAATTAGTCAAAAAAATCGGTGTTTTGTTTTAGGGTTGAAGTGGTGCAGTATTGTAAGTCGGCAACATCGGTGATGTCGAAATTTTAGACTCCCGGCAATCTTCGCGGCTTTCATCTCATCTCATGTCCCAGTCCAGAATACCCAGACATCCTTGTTAAACACTGAACACAACGACGGCGAATTTTACGAAGGTATCATCCTCTTCTTCTTTCTTTGACTCTCTCTCTGAATTTCAATTTTCTTTTCACTCTGACTTTTACACAGGCGTCTAGGGAGTCAACGCTCCTGGCTCCATCGAGGCACAGGTAATCTTCCATCCCCCAGTCATGTTTTTTCAGATGCCTCATTTCAACCTCGCCCTGTTAATTTCAGCGCTTTCTTTTCGTTATTCTGAGTCCCTGTCCCTTTTTCCTCCTGGTTTATCGACTTGAATTCATTATTATTTTTCAGTTTTGAGGTGAGTTCAACTAAGCTGGGGAAATAATTTGTTCTCCACTGGAAATATTCTAAACCAGCATTAAAAAATGGTGGTTGAAGAATTAAACAGGACTAACTAGATCAGTAGGCGATTAAATTGTATTCGTTCTTGGGTGGAATGGGAGTAATGTGACTTGTTTTTGGAAAGAGCGCTGCGTTGATGGTCACTTTATGCTGGGCTTCCCTTTTCACCTCCTCTTTGCCATTTGCCATGCTTTCCATCATGGCTAGATAAGCAAATTTTGGTTACAATAACATTTGAAATGAACAGAAGGCCTGGTCTGACTTTGGCAGGTTGTTACTTGGGTGTTGTTATCTGATAATTTGTTTGTACAAGGAGCGCAACTTGCATGCAGAAATTACAGAAAGGCCATAATAAAAGGGAGGGATCTAAGTCCGTGGCGGAGACGCTGGCTAAATGGAAAGAATATAATGCCCGGCTTGACTCTTGCAGTGATGCAGACAAGCCAATTCGGAAAGTTCCTGCCAAAGGATCCAAGAAGGGATGCATGAAAGGCAAAGGAGGGCCTGAGAACTCTCGTTGTAACTACAGGGGCGTAAGGCAGAGGACATGGAGCAAGTGGGTTGCTGAGATTCGAGAGCCAAACAGAGGAAGTAGGCTCTGGTTGGGTACATTTCCTACTGCCATTGGAGCTGCTCTTGCCTACGATGATGCAGCAAGAGCAATGTATGGCTCTTTTGCTCGCCTCAACTTTCCCAATGTTTCAGTTTCCAATTTTTCAAATGAAGTTGCAAATCAATCTGATTCTGCAGTGCCCACTGAGTCTGTGATGTCCCCAACGAACTCTGGCTCAGATGAGTTAGATGATACCGACAAAAAACCTGATCCCTTGAATGTAAAAGTTGAGGAAGGGGAAGTTGAATTGAGGATCAATTCCTCCACGCTTTCATGATGTATATTATGCACATTTTTATTTGGACGTGTCTAGAAATCGTAGCTTCTCCACTCGTTCGTGATTAACATAGGATGACTGGGATTTGGTGCTTGTACCTGGAATTAGCTGTTGCGGAATGTAAACTGTCCAAATTTTCTAAGCTACACTGGATTCCAGCTCCTTTTCTTAACGTGAAATATAATTTACTTTCTCAAGCAGCTATCTATTTTACTTGAATTGGATAACGTTGGCCTCGTATTGATTTCGTCCTGCTGATGGGATGATATGAAGAGTGAATTGCTGAAGTGTACATAAGGTGGTGGTTTCGGCTGGCTTTTCCACGAAACTTGAAGACTCTCCAGAAGCTGGAAAGTAAGAACGTGCAAGTGTTTGTGCCTGGGGAGTATTAATTATGAATTATCTTTGTAAAAACTTATAAGAGTGTAATCTTTCTCTATTCTTTACCCGACGAAAATATGCTCTCACCTTCAGCTTGTAAAAGGGATTAATGGCACCTAAGGAGACAGTCACCATCTGAATCCAATTAGCTATGTTTGGGCAACTTGGCCACAAACCTCAGTCTAAGCAATTTGATCGCTTCTGGTAAAAAGAACAAAAAGGTTCTAATCAGTACTTGCATCACCCCAAACCTCAGTCCAAGCAACTTGATTGCTTCTGGTAAAAAGAGAAAAAAGATTCTAACCAGTACTTGCATCACAAGGTGGCATCTGAGCAGTTTATCATGAATGAAAAAGCAACTGATTGCTTAGAAGACATGGAAATGCTAAGAGCAATCAGATTGGTTTACAATCACGAGCACCATCATTGTGCATTTGCATGATCCGAGGTTATCCAAGCCTTATTTGTTTTTTTAGTGTAACTGCTTCAGTAATTAGATTCGCATGACACTGTCGGCAAGCTTGACGAAAAGGTGATTTTGCAGAGAACCGTGGGACTCAGTTAAAGCGAGTGTATAGTCTTGACTATCGAATCATTGAGTGCACAATGGCTGGCAACTTCTAGAAGAGCGGAAGTGAACCAGTCAACATTCACCACCGACGTCGAATACGAGTTTGGTTGCATGGTATTTTGACATTTTTACAACTCGAAGTTCGTTGAAAGATTCTTCTAATTTGTTGGGACCTCATCCTCGTTGACCCTCGTAACCCCTCATTATAGCTCACCTGCTGGCTTCTGCCGCCTCAGGTTTCAAAGTCCTAAAAGCGTCCACTCAGCTTTAGAAATTTGCAATTTGGCCTCGCCTCCTCCATGTTGGATTGAAGACAACAAATACGGTGATTTATACTTGGATCCCTTCTGCCATGGAACTCCAAATAAAGCTTCTTAAATCTGGTGCCAAGGCTGCCGGATATCATGGGATCCATTTCTTCCAGGAAATCCATAGAAAACCAAAGCTCTATTTTGTTATTTTATTAATTACAATGAAAATTCAGTTTTTGTTAAAGGAAAAATCTGGTAATTTGAAACAGTGATAGATAGTTTAGTTTAAATGAAATTAGGTAACAATAAATTGGAACGACTAATTTTAGAGGGATAAATGAACAAATTTGGCATTCACAGAGGATATTTCAGTAAAAGCATATTACTTTTTCAATTTTTCACACCGAATTAAAAAATGATTTGTAAACGTAATTCATTTAAGTTCTTACTCAAATAACAATTTTTCTTAAAATTTACAGAGGCAGGTGGCAGGTAAGTAGGTAACCTCATGTCACTTCGGAATTGACTGCAGGCAACTTTCCTGAAAATTAATAACAGATCCCATGTCTCTTTTGAAGCCTTTTAGCTTTGACGAGTTCAAACGAAATCCAGTCTTATCAACATCTACAATTGTTCTGCTGAGTAAGGAATAGACCAATACGTCAATTTATGCACCTGCTCATTGCCAGCTTTGTATTGCAATGTAGTTCGTAGCGAAAGCATTTCTCCTTTTTCTTAGAACTCGGGGAAACTGGGAGTGGATCCCTTCTTCTTCTTCTTTTTTGAGCCTGCATTATTATTACTTTTTGAAAGGGGCGATTTAAAGACTTCCTTCCATAGGAAAGAAACACATGCATTACAAGGTGTGTGAGACTTTTTTTTTTTTTAAAGAAAAACAAAATCATTAGTGTCTATAATTTTATTAAATTTTATTTTTAATTTTTATAATTTGTTTTCAATATTTTTAATTTATATAATTCCTGTAATTTAACATCATTAAAAACTTCAAGAGTTAACATCACTCAATCTTATTAAAATCATAGCAACTAAAAATATTGAGAAAAAACAATATTAAAAGCAAAAGTTCATAAAATTATTATGTTTTTTTTTTAAAAAAAAAGGATTCGTAAGTTGAAAAGCCAAGCAAGAGTTCAAGTTTTTGAACATGAAGACACGGCAAGTGAGGATGCTGCTGGTCACAGTTAATCCCAAAACCAAACCCTGCCCTTTTCACAGCTCACTAATAATGCATGGGACCTATTTCTCTGCTATAAAGCACACACAGGCGCAACCTCCACCAGAAATTTGAGGCTAACCCCAACAGACGCAAAAACTTTGAAGCCCTCCATTTAAATTCCTTTCACCGCCTCAGACTAACGGTGGGCATCACTTTCGTTCCTTGCTGACTCTTCCTCTCAAAACCTAAAGCTCAGGTTTGTCCAGCAGCAGCCTGCATCAGACATAACCAATATACGTTTTCAGCTCGAATTCCATGATGAGGAGCAGGCTTGCTTTGGTATTTCTTCCAGCTGCTCTGATCTTGGTGCTTCGAGCCATGGCAGATGAGTGTGGGTCAGCTGGGGTCAAACCATTGGAGCTGAAAACAGAGACAGAGGCTCAACCACATTACAAGACTGATAAAATTGCGGATCAGCCGGTTCCTGTAGCTGCCGAGTCATCCCAAGCAGCTGAGGCTCCGGCTTTTAGACGGCTGGGAAAGCATCATTCCACGGACAAGTCTATGGCAGGTGGAGGTGTCATTATAGGTGGCCTTGTTACTGCCATTTTTGCTGCTGTTTTCTGCTATATACGGGTCACCAGAAGAAGGGACGCTGCTCACTGACCTTGGCTCGTGTATACGCTCTTCACATTTAGTCTAGGAAGTAAAACACTGTCTTCCCCATATATTGTTGATGTTAATATGAAGTCAAGATTCATGTTCCCTGTCTTCCCTTTTCATATCTGCGAGTTAGTATGCTCTCATCCAATATTTACTTTGGCTACTACATGCTCAACCCTCTCCTTTGTTTTAGTTCTCCAGATGCCGGGAATTAGGAAATGGGAGGCTTCTGATAAAGCAAAAAAAAAATTTTGGTAAAGCACAGGAGGTTACAAGTTCATAATACGGCCAGCTGCTGGCCATGGTGAGTTGTGACTGACGGTTGAAGCATCCGTTTCTGCACTAACCAACCACCGCTAAAATTTAATAATATTCATCCTAAAACATTTAATATGACTTAATTATGGCTTTTCAATACAATCATTGACATAATAAAACTTAACCGGGGGGGGGGTCATTTGTATACTACTCTCCGTTTCAGACTCCCGGTGCCAGCAAGATACCGAATCTCGTTTTTCTTTTCCCGCCAAAGAGAAACGAACAATACATCAGAATCAGAATATTAATCCCACAATTATATTCTCCTGCAGCTTCTTCTGTCCCTGATAGTATCTTCATTGAGGTTCAATGGGGTCCTGTTGTACTCGTTGGTGTTCAGTCTACTTTGTCGTCTCTGTAACATTGGCAATAATGGCAATTTCCCTGGCGGAGCATTTTATTTCCAGCAAGTCAGACCAAGATGCCATCTCGTTTGCCCATGAAGTCTCGGTGAATGCCCCCAATGCTCTCCGCCGAGCGGGATTCAATGTTATGGCCGACCTTTTCCAGCGGTCTCCTCCATTCTTCCTTCCTCCACAAAACTCAACCTTGTTTGCCTTCAAAGACTCTGCTATCAGAAACACCTCTCTCCCTCCATTGCTATTAAAGAAGATGCTTCTGTTCCATACTTCTACCTCCATGGCTTCGATGGAAGACCTCTTAAAGAAGACCCAAGGAAGTTGCATCCCAACCCTGTTTCGTCACAAGAATGTAGCCATCACCAAGATAGACCCCGGACAAAGATTAGTTGAGATTGATCACGCGTTGATATCAAGCCCTGACATATACCTGGGAAACCAAATTGCAATTCATGGCGTTCTTGCACCGTTTTCTTCCTTGGATTTTCAAGATCTGCGTAAGGGCTGGAATTCTGTTCCCCCAGTTTCTTGTCGTTTGAACTCTGGACAATATTCTGCTTCTTATGAATTCAAGAACACGATTGGCTGGAATCGGATTGTTCAGTCGCTCAGTTCAAATGGATACGCTTCATTTTCGATCGGATTGCATTCTGTTCTTGACAGGATACTAACAGATTCAATGAGCTATGATTCTGTCACAATCTTGGCTCCTCCAGATTTGCCATTGATTGGATGTCCATCATTTTTGCTTGACAGAGCTGTGAGGGTACATGTACTGCCACAAAGATTTACATACAAAGAACTCACTTCTCTCCCGGCTAGGACTTCGTTGAAGACACTCATGTCTGACGAATATCTTGAAATTGAAGGAGTTCCAGAGTTCATGTCAATGTTGGTCGTTGACGGCGTGGAAATCGTGGCGCCCGACATTTCAATTTCTGAGAAGTTCGTAATTCATGGAATTGCTGAAGCTTTGAAAATGGACGAGCTTACCACTACATGAAGATAAAAGGTCAACAGTTGGCAAAGATGTCTTTGCAAATTCAAATACCTAGGGAAAGCAAATCGACTCTCTGCTTTGCACATGTGTATTTTCAATTCATAGAAACGTTTCCTGGTTGAGGATAGTTAGGTTAGATTAGATCAAGTTCTCTTGAGTAATCAAGGGAAAAGCGATTAATATCGATTGCAACTGTAAGCATTTCAATAGTCGAAGAATCGCTGAGCTTGAACCAACAGAGTTAATTCCTTTCAACAGGCCGAAGTTTGGGCATCAAGTTTCGTCCTCGATCAAAGACACCCTGGCCCATCTAGTTTTGTTATTGGACACGCAATGAATGATCTTATTAAGAAGAACTCTTCTGCCACGCTCACTTCTTCGATCGAATTTCATCATACCTTTTGGGGCCAACAATTTTCGTTGTAACCTATGGGCCATGGGGATTGGAATGGGTTTGGGAATGTTGGGCATTTGGAGGCATGGATCCCAAATTATTCGAGTTACTCGAAAATGAAGATTTCATTCATGTTACCACTTACCAGAATTGTTGCCAAAAAAGAGAGGAAGAAGTTGGCCTAAAAATTTAGAATAAGAAATGTAAACTGTTAAACAAATTTAAATTGGCTCATATCATATTCATATTCAGAAGTAAAAAAAAAAAAAAAAGAGAATTTCATTAAAGGCCATTGATGTAACGAAATTTCAATTGAAGCCCAAAAAATTATGAATGTTCACTGCAAGCACAAATGATTGAAATGAATTTTTTTAGTGAAATGACCAAAATTCCTTTCAATTATAATTTGTAACATTCCAAAAATTAAAGATCGGATTAAATAAAGTAAAAGAGAGTAAATGAGTTAATTAATGTGATGTGTGATCAAAAGGGTTTAATGAATGATTTTGGTTGTGGTTTTAGCCCTAAATTTGGGCTCAAATTGAAGTCAAGTCCCTTGGGCATCAAATAAAGGAGACATCTAAGGAATGAGTATTTTGTGCCACATGTTACAATGTAATGTGCAACACATCTACTGTGAGACACAGGTGCCCATCCACAAATGAGAGACCTCTCTGCACCATGTGTCACAGTGCATGGTTGAAAATATGCAAAAATAAGATTGCAATAAAGTGGGAAAGAAAGAGGAAGAAATAGGGAGGGATGAAGGATTGAGGATTCGCTCTGTTAGGGTTTGCAATTTGTAGGTTTTAGACCAATTTCAAGCCATCCTATACCTAAAGTAAGGTTCATAAACTCCTTTCCTCCTTTCTTTTCCATTTTCATGAGAATTTGAGCTAGGGTTAAAATGAAAAAAAGTAATTTTCGATCTATATAAGTTATGGGTCTAAACCTAGTGAGTCAAATAGCGTTAATGAGAATTGTTTAAGTTGTTTAAACATAGTATTAAAGATTTTATAAGTGCTTGGTTGGTGAGTATCATAAATGACTAAATTTTGCATTTATAAAGGTGGTTTAATGGCTCATTAATAACAATGTGAGCTATAAGAACCTAGTAAATACAATGAGTATGTTGAAAAGTGAGAAATTGTATTTTATGAGTTAGAAAGGTTGAGTAAAGTGTTGAAATTACTCTAATAAGGATATTAATGATTATCCTTGTGATAGAATTGTAGATTAATTAATTTTGATACCATTTAAGCTTGAGAGGTAAACCTTTAACCTCCAAAAATTTGTATTTTGAGAGGTAAATCTATAATCTCTAAAAAATTTAAGGTAACCAAAGAAAAATTTAGTTTCTATAATTTTTTATTAATTAATTAACTATTGAATTAATAATTTGAAAACTTATTGAGTGTTTGTAAATCCACTTGATGCAAATTGTGACAAATTATATATTGCGTGAGAAATGTGCTTGAAAACAAGAAAATGACATGTATGTTGTATACGTGCTATTGATGGCGTTAAATGAGAATTTGAATACATATAAAAATGAATAGCATGGGATATTGTGTATGTTGAGATAAAGAGAGTATGATGGAGATTATTTGTGATTGTTATGATATGATGTGATGTTGCCATTAGTTTTTGCATACCATGTGCTAATGTGTGTATGGTGTGATCATTTTGGCAGGAGTTCGCCTTGAGAGAGGAGTAGTATAAATTCCACTTGGCAATGACAACTTATTACCATTAGAATCAAAAGTTAACTAGCTATCAATTTTTAAAATCGAGAGGTAGCTATTATTTTGTGATTGATTAAGGACTGTCTCACTTATTCTTTGAGAGACTTAAACCTAACAAGTTTTCCACCAGCTTATAAGGAGGCTAGATTAGGAATATGACACTCCATGATTGTTAATATTGAAAAAAATTGTGGATCACAAATGAGTGGGTTAGCTTTGGCCAAGTAGCTTCTCACAAGTAAAATGCTTGATTAATCCGAGTTATGGACATAACCATTAAATAGCCACCGGTTTCATATAAAAAATATCAGTAGAGTATAAGGATGACATTGATCATGCATTTAATATTTTTGATGACATTGTTGTTATTATTATGGATGGCATGATTTGATAAAGGCACATGATTGTTATTATTTTGACCTCATATAAGCATCATTGTTAATACATGCTGTGCTATGAATAATGTTTTTGCCTTGCTATGTGATTGTTAGTATTATGGTCGTAAAAATCTTAATTTTTGGATATAAATTGTTACTGAGAGTGTTTTTAATTTTGAAAACTCAGGATCTCACTTCTGTGAATTGTACAAACTTAATAATCCTTTTGGGGTTAGTGCCTTAATTACCTTAATTTTTGAGTTAAATGTGGATTAATAATGATAACCTTACATGTTATTTGGAGAATTTTACATAGTTAATATTGTTGGGATAACAAATTAATTTACAATTTTGGCAAGTAACATTTCTAAAAGAATAAATCAAATTATAGTTTTTACAAGTAACATTATTTGAATAACGAGTGGGTTACAGTTGTTACAAGTAAATAATTGAAATAAAAAATTAAGTTATGATTTTTACAAGCAATACTAATACTAATAAAAGAAAAAGTCAAGTTACGATTTTTATAAGTAACATTATTAAAATAACAAGTCAAATTATAATTTTTACAAGTAACGTTATTAGAATAACAAATTAAGTTACGATTTTTATGAGTAATATTATGAGACATTGAAAATAATAAAAACAAAAAAGTTATATTTATTTAAGTGATACTTACTTGTAAAATTTATAACTTAACTTATTATTTTAATAAAGTTACTTGTGAAAATGTAAGTTGACTTGTTATATCAAATGCTTATTATAATTAAGGGACATTCTAATTATTTAATTAAGAAAATTTAATTTATTTTAATCATCCGATCTCATGGTAAAATTTTAAATTTTTTTTGAATCTAAATTAAAATTATGTCACGTCCAAAAGCATTCAATGGAATTCTCCCTAGAATAGGATCTGGAAACTCGTATTTGCATCTCTGCCCTTCTTAATCTTAACTAGAACCGGCACATGGGAATGAATTATTTAAAAAAAAAAAGTTAAGAAATCGAGGTGCCGAGTCTTCAGAGTGATTTGATGAGTTTCGTGATCCACAAAACAGAAATATTCGAGTCTTAACAGACTTGGTGCCCAAAACCGAGTTTTCTCCTTGAAAAGTTCAAATCTGAGAGACTCGAAGCATAAAGGAAGGAAGGAAGCAATAGAGTGGAGGAAATGCGATAGATGGATCCATGGAAACGAGATCCACGAAACGCAGGAAAATTTCAGAGTTACTCGGAAATGACAACGTCGAAACTAGGATCGATCGTCTCAGTGATCTACCCGATGCTCTACTTCATCACATCCTTCTCCTCCTTCCAATCAAAACAATCGCGCAAACCAGTGTTCTATCCAAGAGATGGAGGTCCCTTTGGATCACCTATCCCGATCTCGATTTTACGACTCTCGATTCCTTGCTCGTTTCTTCAATCAAACACTTAGAGCCTCATCTATTGACCGCGACACAATCCCGAATCATCAACCAAGTACTCTCTATTCGTGACAAAAACACGGACATTAGGGTTCTCCGTTTTCGCGCCACCATAAGTTTCTCTCTATTAAATTGTTTAATTCGTAACGCCATCAGGCAGAATGTTAGACAGCTTGAAGTTGAGGTGGGTACAAAAGATTATTTCAACTTTCCCAGGTGTGTGATTAGTAGTGAAAGTTTAAGGACATTGAAATTAAAATCACGTTATCCAGGTTTTCGCTTGCCTCCGGCTTCTGTTATGAGGGATGGCTTCAAGTCTCTACAAGCACTGTCTCTATCTCTCGTTATTTTGTACAACCAGCCATTTCTATCTGATCTGTTTTCTGATTTGTCATTTCCTTCCCTGAAGAAGTTGCGCCTTCGTGCGTGCGTTGGATTGAAATCCCTTCATGTTGGATGTCGAGCAATCCAAGATTTAAGCTTAAAAAACTGTTTTCATCTGCAAACTTTGGACGTGTCATGTGCAAAACTGGAAAGGCTTAGAGTAGTAGATTGTTTTAATTCGTACAGTGAGAAGAGTTGGGTCAGAATTAACGCACCGAAGCTTCAACATTTCATTTGGGATTACAATAGAGTGACTGACAATACGATTATTGAGCATTCGAAATTTTTGCGTGAGGCCTCCATCGGTTTCTTCATATTACCTAAAGAATTTAGCATGGGCAAGCTTTTAAGTGTCCACAATTTGTTGTCTGGACTATCTCAAGCTCATTCCTTGACTCTTGAAAGCCAGTCCGTTGAGGTAATTTTTTAACAGTCTCTTTCGGTATAAAGTTAGTCAAGTCTTAATTTCCTATTTTTCTAAACTCTTCTATACGTATGCATCTAAGTGCATGTGTGTGCTTGTAAACCTATATATATATTCCTTATGCTTATTGCTTCAAAACTAGGTTAGCCTGTCTTGACAAAACTGGCGCTTCATCTATGACAACTTACAAGATTTACGACATATATATTGAAGAGACCATGAACACCTAGCTAGCCAAAGTGACTGAGAACCTTAGATTTTGTTTGGCCAATGTCCATTGTATTTTTTTTTTTGAACGTTCTTACATTCCTTTATTCATGTGACAATTGGAGTCCCTCTCTTTAATTTGATTGCAGATTTTGTCGAACAATAAATTTTTTGCGATGCATCTTCAGCCATTTTGTAATCTTAAGTCATTAGAGTTGCAAACTGTTCTCAACAAAAGTAACGTCCAGGGATTAGCGTGCGTATTCACAAGCTGTCCTACACTGCATACTCTGATTCTTAGGATCATTAATGATTATAAGACTGAAAGAAAAGTGAGTTGATTATTTCATGCATAATTTTTTCTATGTTTTAATAAATGCTTGCTCATATTAAGTACACAGCTGGTGCGAAGTTTAATTATGCTGCCTCTCGACTATAAATTTCAGCAATGGAATAGGGACTTGTGGGACGTGACTAGCACTGAAGAAGAACAATTCTGGGAATCTCAGATCCAAACACTAAAGTCGTTTCTACAACACCTGAAAGTGGTGAAAATTCACGGGTTTCTAGAATGTGAGGATGAAGTTACGTTAGCAAAGTTTCTGCTCAAGCACGGAAAGGCCTTAGAAGAAATGATATTATGCGGAGGACGTTGCAATTCCAGAGATTCTCTGAGACGACAGAAAATCAGGTCGCAAATGATGGGGTTTTCTCGGGCTTCTTCTAATGCGAAACTGGCATTTCACTAGCAGCTGTCTTCTCGGTTTGTGCTCCTGATTTTGTTAGAGTTTAACTTTTTTCTTTCAATAAGTCTTTGCATTTGAGATCCCACGGAATGAAGCGGGGATAATTTTTTTTTGGCAAAACAAACAATATATTTGTTATTCCACGAATTCGAGCCTTTTCTTGTAATTGTAGAGTTTAAATAGAAGGAAGTTTTAACTAGGCTTTCGTAATTTCTTAGTACTTGTACGTTGTGAATGTATAACTAACTCATGGCGACAAGCCGAGTGTAAGGTAAAAATGTTTGAAAGCCTTTTTACATGCAGATTATTTATTCAACTAAAAATCATAGGCTAATTCGAGTCATGGAAGATGCGTATGATGACTCCTTTCATTAGCAATAAGCTGAAGGGCTGATAAAAATTAAACTAAATGAGGAAGTTGCCCCTGAAACATGGGAAGACTGTATTTTTTTTCCCCAACCCTTGAAGATGGAGCTATGCGCCCAATCAATAGTAAGGTTTGAGGTATGTGTACAGTAAGTTGATGAGGTCCCAAACAGTCCACATTTTACACTGCTTTCAATGTGGATTAGCTGGCAAACACATATAAAGTTGGGGGGAAAAAACAGAGAGAGAATTAGCAGGTACCGAACCCTCCAGTGGGATAGTGCTACTTTGCCGCATGCAACGATTGACTTTCGATGAAAATTAAAGGTGTCGTCTGCCATACATAACAATGACACGTAATTCAGATTTGATACATGCACTGTCCCGTATTGGGAGAATGACCAAGAAAACGAGTCTAGAAAGATACAGAATTGACCCTACCTTTATCAATCCTCTTATCAAGGTTACATAGTTTAATTGAGAAGCAGGTGCGAAGAAAAGTTCATCTCATACCTTCACCATGGATCTAGCCCTAGAGTCCACAAATACAATCAAATTAGAGTTTCGATCAATCCAAAAGGCGATGGGCAAAGAGAGAGATCCCTAAACTAATCTAATTGTGCTTTAATTTCAAACGCGGAATTTAGCTGATTGAAATGGAATGAAGTTACTATTCATCCATGCAGAGTAATTAAAAAAATATATATATACTGCACGCGAACCCCTTAAACCTTCAACTGAATTTTAAATCAACACTTGAAAGACAGCACTGGCTGCATACATATGCATGCCCCTACATATGATATTCTACTGCTCGGTCGATCACACAACTAAATACCAATTATCAAGCTCAACATGTCTATTAATTTAAGCTCGCGCGCCTTCTCAAACGTACGTTAACGTTTGTTTTCAGTCGAGGGTGCACCACTTCCTATGCCCTGGAGCCCACTTTGGGCATTTCGGACTGAAGTAACTTGAAACAACTTTGGAGTTCAAAAGCTCTATAATAGGAGCGTATGTCACACATCGAGGAGTTTTGTACTGATTAATGGATGCACCCATGCTCAGAGAGAAGTCCATGAGCTTGTCAAATGTCCCATTCTCCACTATCCTAATCTCTAGAGGCCCAATGGACTTGTCAGAAACTCTGCCTTGGCGATACACACTGTTGAGTGATTCTTCAACTGCAAGGCAACAATCCTCAAAAACAGAAGGAGGGATTGAGGTTTGCTCACTCGGGCCAATCTCCCAGTATAAAACATAGTGGCCTGGGATAATTGAGGTGTCCGCACAGCTTGTGTACTCTGTCAGCGATGCACCAAACTGAAGAAGGTGATTAGCTGCATTCTTCACAGCATTTTGGAGCTCAACTTCATCCGTCTTGTCAGAATCTATGCTCAGAACCACATTCTTTCGACATACGAAGTTGAATTGAGGAGCCTTATTCTTGAATCCAGTCACACGCAGTATATCCCCAACCCGATACCTATAGAGGCCTGTGATAGTGCGGTAATATTCAATGAGAACCTCAAGAACAAAAAGTAGGACCAAACTTTAACTTGTGCGTTTATTATCTCAGTTCTTGAATAATACTGCATGAAATTAATTTTATTGAAAAACTTGATAACAAAACGCTTAAGAAAAGTATCAATTTTATCCACAATAATCTTTCATTGCTGTATAGAATTGAGTTATTACCTGAATAGGTGGTAACTACAAGCTCATATTGTTGACCCAACTTCACATCTACGAGATCAACTAGTTGTTGGTCTGGGTGAGAACCTGAGTTGGCAAGCCCGTTTTTCTTGTTAAGAGGCAAGAACTCAAAGTAAGCCATGGAAGGGATGAGGGTGTAAGAGACCTCGCTTGGGTCACACAAAGGGTTTAGGTTGAGACCAAAGTAACACTCAGAAGAAGCATACATGGTGCACACCAGGGGAAGACTGTTACTATAGTAATCCAGAGTGGGAATGTATTGAGACATGGTTCCTGTGACGATTACGTCAACATACTTGGTGTTAGGCCATAGCCTAGGAATGATACCCTTCCATGAGTCTTGGACACATTCGGCTTCTACAAAAGCCGCGAGGTGGGGATTTGGCTTGAGTAATTTCATGACGGCCTCTCTCACTGAAGGGTCAGTGATTTTGGGGTCTATTGTACCGGTTCTGATGTCATTACACAGGGAAACCCAATGCTTTTCGAGGAACTTGATAGCACGAATAAACCCAGAAGCAAAAACAGCCCCAACGCGAAGGACTTGATCGTTTTGACAAAGGCCACAAAGCAATTGGGAATACATGCTTTGGAAGGAGTCAGGGCAGAGAATGGTCTCGTTGGGGCTGGTGTAGTTAGTGTGGGGATCAAAAGGCCTGTCTTTAAAATGAGAGCTTTTGTAGTAGCTGGTTAAAACTGGACGAGCTAAAAGTCCTCCCGGAGTCTTAGCTTCTGATTTTACGAACAAAAAATACATCCCTTTGCCCTCGCCCAAACCCTCAACATATTGGCTCATCACCGGCATCAAAAGGCTATAAAGCAACGCCCTCCTGTCCAGCTCCTCTTCGATCGTCGGCATTAATTTTCTTTCTCCACCAGATGTTCCAGAGCTGCATAAAATACAACAGCAGCATCCGCATACCATACGGATTACATGATAAGCAACTGGAAAAAAGAAGTACTGAACGAGGCAAGGAAAAAGTATATATATATATATATTTTTTTTTTCACTGACCTAGTCAAGAACTCTGATATGGGTTTGCAACATAAAATCGGGGACGTGTCACCATTGGCAATACGATCAATATCCTGTTTTAAATCGTCATAAGAGACGACGGGTATGAGCTTCTTGAAAGAGTCGGCGTCAGTACGACCATCAAGACCATGGCGTTGGAGGTACTCAGCACGGGCACTGCGAGAAAGGATCTCAGCAAGGACACTGGTTTGAATGTCATCGGCGTTGCCGGTGACATCCTCGATGTATTTCAGGGCTCTCTCACGGCTAGCCTGGGCGGCGTTATTATGAGCATTGGCGGCATCATGTTCAAGGCCATTCGGGTTATTAGGAGCCTCGGGCATGGTGGGTATACTGTAAGAGAAATCAACAATCATATATATGAAAGGAAGAGGAAGGAAAGCAGAATGAGGTGAAGTGGGTTGGAAAAGAAGGGGAAAGAAGGAGGGTATATATAGGGAACAAAGGGAGGGAACAGGTTAGAAGAAGGAAGAGGGTGAAATGGTAAAAAGAGTAACTGGACGAGGGGGAACCGTAGGGAATGGAGGGTGGGAGAGCTGGGTACACGGGTGCATGTAGGACGGCTGTTGTTAACAAAACCGGCAGCGGCTTCCGTGAGTTGATTTCATTTTTTATTAAAACCAATCGGCTGCTCGGCTTCTCTCTCGCGCGCCTTTTATTCACCAACACCCCAATTTCCTCACCCGAGGCTCCAACTTTCTTCTCTATATACTCAAACTTCAACGTCACTTAAATCCATATATATGCATATAATTTCGTCATACATATGTTTTGTGAAAGACGTAAATAATGATGTTTCATAATTTCAATCATTTTGGTGTACTTGGAAAAATTTTAATTCTTGAAGGTCGGAATTCTGCCCTCGAGAGGTTGAATTTTTTATGTATACATCAAGTGGTGGAGGATGAGTGAGGTCAACATAGACTGATCCAAACTGAGCAATTAATTATACAAGGATGTTGAAGTGGAAAATGAGTGATCGATGTTTCTGCAAAAGTACTTTTTGTGTGATATTTTCCCCCCAAAAAGGCTCGGAAAAAGAATGCTTGTACGTAGGGTTTTCTGTATTTGCTTTAGCTTCACTCGATATAACTGCCTAACTATGGGGTTCAAGCGACACCTACACATACAAGTGAAATGAATGAGAAAAAGTTTTCCAATGAGAAAAGCGATGGATGAGGAGGGTGGATATGAGAGCTTTGGTATCTGGTGCTACTTTAAGTAATTGCATATTCATTGCGCAGCCATCACTGATCATGCACTCTCTCTGTCCACTGCTATGTGGGGTTACTTTCATTTTGAATTTGCAAGTCCGTGTTTCTATCACTCCTTTCTTCTCTCTGCTTTTTGGTTTTGACAGTGCAGTAAGGTTTCATATTATTATAAAATTATATGGCTACGCGTGGCTAAGCTGGCTTCAGGCGAACTCGATGATTTTGAAATTTGAGGTCGGAAATGTGGGTGCAAATTAGGTTCATGCCTGTACGTAATACTCGAAGCTTTTTTCCCCGCATATTAATTATTGGGAGCTGTAGGGCTAAGTCTCTTTATATATTCCAATCTATAGTTTATTACTTGCACGTCTTTTAAACGATCCTTTCTTCCATGTTACAAATATTTGAGGAGTCCAATATATATTGGTTTTGACTTGAGTTGCAGTCGAGGGGACATTATGTCCAGTTCTTCTCGACGAGTATTATCTATATAAACTTAATTAAACTAAAGGTTTGCACACGAGCAAAGGAGGAAGACAGCTATATATTTTACCATGTTATCAAATAATCTGCTTTTTTATTCTACACGATACGAGGATCAAACTGGAAACAGAGAACCATTGTTTTCCGATCCAAGCAATACTGTTAGAATAGTTTCATACTGAACTTGACCACATGAATGTCATGTGCCACTATTTTTTTCTCCTCGTTGAAATTCTTGCAAGGACTACGACCTTGTAAGAGGACTCGACCACATGAATGTCATGTGCCACGTACGTCTTGTGACCCTGAGTATATCGAATTATTAATCATTAGAATCGCCATCAATTTTTTCAATTATTTTGATTGATTCATAATAAAGTTGTTTTGAATTTTCAAAACTTGACATAATTCTTAAAATTAATTTGATATTCACGAATAATATAGGCATCTCCCACGAGTTATCCAACTTTGAGTTGAAAATAAGAATGGGGGGAAATGAGGAGGCAAGAAGGATGGGAAGGAGGAGAAGGCCAGAAAGGCCTTGGCCCTATGAAACCTAACCTACATGCTTTTAAACACCGCAGCTGTAAGGAGCTCATGCAGATATATAACCAATCATGTTATATTCAATTCTATGACCTTTGATCGTGTTCACATGGTAGAAAGATACGTGTAACTTATCTGATAATGTCAGTTGCAAACATGTACAAATATCCTTATATGACACTTTAGTTGAGAGTATGTAAACAGTACATAGAATGAGTTAGCGAATAAGCATGATGAGAGACAGTAAGAGCAATGGGTGGTTGAATGGAACATAGGGGGAGAGGGGAGTGCTTAAGGGTCTATGAGAAGGATGAGAGTATAGGATTAGGGAGTTACAGTGAGGTGTTGACTTTAGGGTGGTCCCGGAGCGGCCATGTCTCCGGCTGTCTGCTTCGCGCGTGGTAGAGTCACTTTCAGAGGCCACGTGTTTTACAGAAGTGAGATGTTCCCACACACTCACCCGTTTTTCCTTCGGTCAAAGTCCCTAAAGAATGAAGCTTTCTTGGGCTCCAAATTTGCGACTCATAGGAGGGTGCACCGAGGCAGGGACTTTGCCTTGTGCTTGGGGTTTTGGGATTGGAAGAATTACATAGGAGTTTTGTATTAAAAAATTAATTATTATAAAGTCTATTAATAATTGAATTAAACTGTACTAATAACATAATTAGATGTTAATATAATGTTTAGTCTAACTATCAATAAACTTTATAATAATTAATTTTTTTATATAAGATTTGGCTGTAATTCTCCTTTGGAGATTTCCACCTTCTCACGTCTCCCTCACTCACTGACTTTGAAGAATGTTTATTACTACGGGATTACCGTTTCTTTATTGCTCTGCGCGTTCAGCCTTCAATCCCTCCCTCAACCTTCGAAAACATAACTCTTCAGCCTTCTGATATGACAGAATAGTACTTGTTATAATATATACTGTGTGCTGATATCATCGCTTCATTTTAATATCAGGCTCGTCGTCTTGCGTGCCCTCAAGCCTAGTTTGATCTTAAAACTAACTATACATGTTCCCATTTTCGGCTAAACAACACGCTAACCTATCGTTTCTCGGATAGAATCGTCTCTGTAAACGTGTTTACGGTTCGTTGAAAACTATATGTAGCTAGGAAAGTGACTCTAGATTTAGAAGCTAATTACAAGTGGAAACACAAAAAGATGTTTCCCATGTGGCTGAAGCTTTAGCTGCTAAAACATTATATACTGTTAATGAAACTTCACTTAACCCACTAACCGTACTTAATTACTATTAAGAATAGACAGCACCACAAATGTCTGTGCAGAGCACTCCGGAAACCATTTGCAACTCCTGCAACCAACCTATAATTATATTGCGCGCGCGCGCATACACACAATATGTAAACAATTATATATGGAGTACGGCGTTTGGTTTTCCTGATCCATTAGTGATGATTTATTCTACTTACAAACAAACTTGGAATGATCGATATATTTTGTGGTTTCTTTGCACCCATTAGCTAGTCAGTCGCACGATAAAGTCACATATATAGTTTCGTGTTCCCTCAGGGTTGTGCAAAACTCCATGGCTTCAAAAGTAGTAGTTTCACAAAAAGGACACAAGTGTCGGCATGGTACTCGCAGGCTTAGCTGCTCATGTCAGAAACACACATGAGGTTATTTACCGGCATTGATTGAATTTTCTGTGATAATGTGATGATGGCGCTGAAGTCACAGATCAACAATTACCAGAGGCAGTGTGATGTATATCGACAAAAAGGGAACGACTAGAGATTGATTAGATACTTGTGTGTTAACCAACCTAGAATCCCTATAGATCTTTTCTTTCGTCACAAAGCACAAAACTCAGGCCATTGTTACTGAATAATATTCGCCGAATCCAACCAAACGGAACAAAAATAGGTTCATCATTCCTTTCATTAATTTGTTGATGACAAGTTGTGCCAAGCGTTGAGCCACTCTGCCCGTCTTTTCGTGTAACGAGCTTGGCTTACAAGTGGGACCTTCGCTCTTGGTCATAACCAACCTCAGCTGGTTGACCAAGAAGCACGCTCGAAGTGTCACTTACTGTCTTGCTAAAGATGATGAAATGGTCGAGACATTGCGTTTCCAGATTACTTTTCCGAAGGATTTTCCTCCTTTTGGCTTAACTTTCCAGAGGAACAAGAAAGATAGATAAAGAAGGCCAGGAAATATGGGGAGCACCACATATTAAGTTGACGACACGAGAGAGTAGCCATACGCAAAACAAAGTCTGTTTTCCAGATGCTAAAGGTGTGAGGGATGACCCAATTTTCCAATACAAACAGTACTCATCACTGTGCATGTGTCGATCCCCAGATGTTGCAGATAGCCATGTGATGTTTATAGCTTGTTGAAACAACAGTGCTCGGGAACTCGGGGGGAAAAGTTGAAATTATGATTGGAAAATGTAAAGGAAAACAAAATAATGGGGAGGAACATGATGAAGAAGTATAGGGAAATGGTATGAAAAGTAGATGACACAGCGTAGCAGGGAATGGGTCCCTTTGCACACTGATTTAAAAAGAGACCTGGGTTTATGTCTACCTGATCTTTATCCCCACGATCAAGAGAAAGGTAAGGAAGAGACATTATTATGTTCTTCTTTGTGGTACCCTTTTGTCCCTTGCGCAAATTTTAATCTCACCAAAGGGGTAAGGCTTAATTCACGTCACAGGATACGAGTCACATGTATATTCCCAATCCAGATATATCAAATTATAAAGACGCGTATGTTATGCGCTTGTCATAGCCTGCGAATTTAGAGGGATGATCAGGGTAGGGGACCTGATCTTTCGTTCTCCGCTGGACCACATTATCACAATGATCGAAGTGCAATTTTGGGCAATTTCGTGAAGAAAGGAAATTAATATATACATGGAGTTTTGTGAGCCACTTTAATTTATTATGTGGTTAACATGATTACACTGATCTTACACGTCTTCAACTTCCCATACTTGATTATGAAGTCACTGTGTGGAGCGACTCTCTCTCTTTCATCTAGGTCTCCGAATAAATACGTGGGACAAGGGATCATAAAACTTCATGGCATACAGGGTATTCTAATAGGCCTCTGATCGATCGACGGGATCAACATTTTCCAACTGCATGTGTTTGTCTCTGTATCGTGTCTGTTTCAATGAGAACTGTGGACCACTTCACAGGATCAGCTATTCTAACTCACGTCGGCTTGAGTTGAGCTGCGAGTTCCCTACCCCCCCCCCCATCAACAAACTCCTCTTATCCCCACCTGCACTAATTCGAGCTTCTATTTTGAAGAAATTTATGACTGATAACGATTTCATATAGAATTTTATGATATGATAAATGTACCATACGATTCGTTTTATAGGACTCTATTAGAATGACCTGATATTTCATAATATATAACATACTTTGAGAAGAACAATGATTCTTTAATAAAATGGACATGACAACACCCGTGGTTCAAATTAGGGAGGTGAATGAAGTTTATTAAGTCGTGTTTGATTTTATGTTTACGAGTCACACCTTTCACAGGCTACTTTATATTGAAGAGACCGGCAACAAACCCACGAGAACATTTCAATACGTAAATTTGTTGAGATTCTCAGGAAACTTCATCGTGTATTATGGGATCAGATTCCCAAAACTCGTGGGAATAGGATTCTAGCCCACCATACAGATCCAAAAATTTATTCTCCGATCTTCTTCCCACACACTAAACCAGCAAAAAATGGGCGCGCATAGAGCATGTTAAATATACTTAAATCTATCGTACTGCTTGGCCCCAAAAAAAAAAAAAAAAACAGGGAGAGAGAGACAGAAGAAAGGAAGAAACTGAAAAAAAAAAAAAAAGTACTCCCTCTCGTGCTATTTATAGGGTAAAGTGAAAAAAAAATTAATTTTATTTATAAATCACATCATTAAATTTTTATTATAAATTTTTTTTATCCTCCATTAAATATTAGAGACAAAAAATATATTATTGAAGTATGTATATTTAATAAAAATAAAGTTAAAAATGATGAAATTTTAAAACAAAATTAATAAATTTTAAAATTTTTTTAATATTAATGAAATATGTTGAGAGTGATTTATAAATGGGGCTAGAGCACTTTTATGCTGGAATATACATACATAATTAATAGAACCAATTATTCTTAGATGTGGGTATAGCACTGGGAAATGATAAAACATGGTTTAGTAGTTGTCAGCGTAAGATCCTAGGAAAAGTACTGCATCATGAGGGGCGGAAAAGGGCGAATGTAATGGAACTGAAAGCGTCATCGCCTTTAATTCTTTATACACACGAGTGCTTTTTGTTCCCCAGCTTTACCCTGTTTGTAATGGCAATGCTCCACAGCTTTACTTGCTGATAGAGAAGGGATCTGTCATGCCATGAACAAGAATGACCCCCAACAAATCAGCTCAAAAGAGGATCAGCGCCCTCGACTGATTTTAATATTGGGCCGTCGCCCCGAAAAAGAACTTGGGCTTTATGACGGTTGGTCCACAAAAGTTTTTTCTGCTTGGACAACGCTCTTGAGCCTTTGGCAAGGAAGAATGGATAGGTAAATCCTGCAAGGTTATAATGTTACAGTACACGTGTGGTTCTGTGCGATGGAAGGATTTATAAAAGAATGAGAAACGAGACAGGGAGACGACACGTGGTAAGGGCTAATGGTTCAGGGAAAGTTCCGTCCACGCTCCATTTCACACGTTCACCAATTAATGATGAACAGCTATTTAGTTGGTTGTTTTAAGGGAGAATTACAGTAATCGCTCCCGCAAAAAAAAAAATAATCACCAACAAAAATCAATAACAAATTTTATTAAAAAAAATTACATTTTGCATTTTAATAATCCCTCCTACATTAATCTTTATCCGTAATTCTTTTGTGAGCGGAGTTGATTGTAATTCTTTTTTATTTTAAAATCAACTTAACTCCCCTCCCCAAAAAAAAGAGAAACCCCAATTCCCGCATCCTTTATCCACAATCCATTAAACCATGATTATGATCCAGACGTCCTGCTCCATTTCAACTCTGGCCCGTCACGTCCACATCATCTGGATCAACGCAACTTTCTCTCTTCTCTTCTCTTTTTAAAATATTCTTTGCCAACCGTACATTACGTAATCAAGTATAGATGCCGTCCACACGTGATTAAACAGAGAGGAATCCTAAAATGTTTTGTAAGTACAAATTTAAAGAGAAAGTTTATGTTAAAAAATTAATTTATGAGAGTTTTTTAAATTTATAAATTTTATATTATTTATGAGGTTTTTTAAGGACTCATGGTAATATCACCTTATCAAAAAGTTAACGTTTTTGTTGACTTCACCTCACAGCATTTCACTCAATTTTTTATAGATCAAAATTCTTTATAGATAGCTCTTTTCGTAAAACCGACTTCTCAATAAAAATATTAATATAATGAATATAAATTTTAAAAAAGAGTCTATTTTAAAAAATTAATTTATTAAAAAAAAGAGCACCTTAAATTTAAAACCCTCACACCATTTACTTAGAAATGCTGACTGCAAATATTTTCCCATCATGTTATGTTCTATCCCTAAAGTATCAAACTCTGCAAATGTTTTTGTGAGATGCCAGGTGCCAAATGTGACTGAGTTCAAGCACGGCCTTTTCTCACTAGATTATCGTGTTTTATAACCTATTTCCCAACCACGTGCCGGATGATTTCTGATGGCGTTTATACTTTACGCGAATTTTTTGAAGAGTTTTGCTCTGCGTCTCGTCTTCCTAACCTGTCTTTGACTTCGAGCCTGCTTAATTCTGTTTTGCTTTCTCAGTCTCGAGACATTTCAAGTTGAGAAAGGAACTCTTTATGGATGTTAAAGACCGTTCATTTTAATCTAGATTGTGGACGATGACCTCATTTTAAGTAATCCCACTAACTAAATTGAGTTTGATTTCACTTAATGGATTTGATTACCGCGATGCTCTGGTTTTTTACCCGGTGATGATGAATGAAGAAAAAAAGAAAATGTTAGCATTCAGGAAACCAAGCATGAAGACGACGTGGTCTGCCGTCGTCTCTGTTACATTGAGAAAAGAGGAAAATGCAAGGACGGGACAGGAAGTCAAGAGGAAGAGGTGGGGAGGTGAGGTTGAGGAGGGCGATGGAGCCAAAACGAGGAGCGCTGCATTAGATCTGGACTTAATCTGAACATCAAAACGCAGAATTCCAAGAGAGAGAGGGCGCCGTCGCCGTCGAGATCAGCTTTGGCGATCATGCAGAGGAGATCATCGCGCGTGAAATCCTGCACACCAAGGAGAGCAGAGTTGGTCCTCAAGCTGTCCAAGGTGATGAGTCCCTTGCGCCTGTCCATGAGCAGCCGAAACCCGTTACAGAGCTCGAGGAGAAGACCGTGGCGTCCGCGTTTGTGGGCGATGAGGGGAAGGAAATCTTGAAAATGGAGAGCAGCCATGGAAAAATGGGATAAGGTGGTGGGGAAGAAGAGTGATACTTAAAGAGGGGAAGGAGGGAAGGGGGAAGGAAGCGACAGTGAAGAAATGAACCCTGAGGGGATGACAGTAGAGAAACACGCAATTAATGAGCTCCTCGGCTTTGATTCTGCTCGACCGACCGCACCTGCCTCCCTGCTTCCATGCAAGCTTTTGTTTCTGAGTCAAACAAATTTTATTTGATCTTTAATAATTAAACAACAAAGAAAAACGTGGGAGATGATGGTATGGGGATTAAACAAGATGAGGTCAAGGAGCATTTGACTGGTGGCGGAACAAATCGGAGGCTTCCTTTTGGATCCGAAAAGCACCGTCACCGCCGTGCCTTTCCACCTCCACCGACCAACCCTCTCTCTTTTTTCATTATGGAGTAACCTGTCTTTCACACCTTCATGACTTGCGACAGCTTCATCCAACGTTCGCTCCCTCACGCAACCCATGTGATATGAATGCATTTCCATACCTGCCCTCGAAGTTCCTCCAAACTCCTGTTTTCCGTCGAGGTGCTCTCCGCCTCTCTTATCCCCCCAGCCCATTTCACCGAAACCATAATCATGCATTATCGTTGATATTCCCCGTGGAGCCCTTCCCTCGCAAAGGACTTGGCTTTCCGGGAGGGAGGAGTCTCTCCTTTTTCTTTCCCTCATTTTTTCTCCATTTACTCGATCTTTACCATTCACACCATTTTGTCAAATAATGTTTTTAATTATAAAATTAATAAAAGGTGAAGATTGGAAAAGTTGAGAGATAAAGGGAAAAAAAAGAAAAAAAAAGGAAAGACCCCTCCCAAGCTTTCCTAGTCCCCCGTATTTTCATTCGCTGCACCTCCACTAATCCCATGCAGATGTAATCAATTTAGATTTAACATTTTTTTATTCATTAAAATATCAATTAATAAAAAAATTAAATAAGTCTGCTAATAATCAATCCATATATTATTGATCTAATCTGAACAATTTTATTTTAATATTAATATTTTTTTATAATTTAATAAACTGACCTTCAGATATTAAAATTTTTATGAATTTTTAATTTGGTGATACAAATCTAGACTTTCTAAATTGTTGATCAAATTTATTAAATTTTTATACTCTTTATAAATATATTTCATTTTAATAAATTAAAATTAAAATTAAAATTTCGACAGTAGATTTCTTTTTTTCATAGGAAAGCCTTCAAATTCTCGCTTTGCAAATGCAAACTACATTTGTTTCCTAGCCGGCAAGTTTGACAAGGTTTCGGAGTTCGAGTCTGGCATTTTGGCAACCAAAATCGCCTCATTTTAAAATTCCTTTAACCCCCGTGGAAACACCTGCGACAACCTCTTCACTGCTATATCTGGAATCTCGATCTCCAGGAAGTCGCCTCTCAAACAAAATTCACTTCCTGTGCAAGCGTATCAGCTACACGCATACTATTCAGTTATTTATTTGAATGGATGTTTTATTTGGAGAGGGAATGATCCATATGCATTCGGGATTCCTCGTGGTCAATATTCCCTGCAGTCAAAGCCCAAACCTGAGCCCAGTCCACTTCTTACAACCCCTGTGCGACTTGAATGAAGACTATTACATGCTTTGGCAGAACACAAACACAGGCGCAACAATATATACTTTCAAATTTAATGGATCAACAGACTTCTGACGGTTACATGAAAGGTTAGGATTCTTAAACGACAGGGTGTTAGCTCGATTATCTTTAAACAGTTTTTTTTTTTTAATTTTCTCGAAAAGAAGGAGAAACAAGCAGGAGAGAGAGGGCAGTTGGAAGGGGAATAGAGGGCAGGAGGACAGGTTCGATGGGAGCGCGTGTGATTCAAATTTGAGCATGTTTTCAGCGTTGTGTGAATAAGTAAGTATACGTGTTGGTCAAAACAAAAAAAAAAAGGAAAAAGAAAGTAAGCATGATATCTCCCCCGGTCCTCCCGCTTTGGACTTTGGAGTTTGGAGGGTGGAAATGATGAGCGTCCCGATCAGGTGACGCCCAGATGGCCTGGTCTCCGTCCGTCAATGAAATCCTGCCACGTGAGCAAATCGGAATCTCCACAACGCTTATGTGCCACGTGGATCGCCTGAAATAAATATTAGAAAAAATATCCTGCGCGAACCATCGAAACCACCGAAAGGATTTCGGTATGGAGTATAGACCACACACAGCTTTTTATTCCCTCGCCAGCGGACACCTGGCGTCCCCTTCCACCACAAACACCGCGCCCATCGCTTTTCTGCTCCTTTCCTCCCCACGCCCGCCCTTCCTCTAATGAAATGACAATTCTAACCCCTTTCACTTCCTTCCTTTCCTTGCCAAGTACAACTTCGGTGGGTTGGATTTTAAAACTCACTCCCTCCGAATTTATTTATAAATTATTTATATCAATTTTATTAATATTAATAAAATAAAAGCATGAAGAATAATAGTAAGTGTAAGTTTAAATATAATTTTAAGTAAAAATAAAAAGTGAATCAATCATGTAATATTTTTTTATCTCTCTATTTGTGAGGGTAGTTTATGAATTTTAATTTAAAATAAAATAATTTTATCAATTAATGATTTATAAAGTAGACCATGTTATACTTTTAAAAGATGATTAATATACAAGATCAGAGGAGTATTAGTTACTGATTTCACAATTAAAACAACTCTTATAAAATTGCCTGTATATTGTTTAGAGTTAAGGTGCATTTTTGTTTATGAAGTATTTTTTGAGAAGCATCCAACTCATTAACATTTTTATTAGAGCAATTTTGCTCTCAAAGTTACTAAAACAAATCATTCTTTCTCTTTTTATCAAATTTTCAACATTAATATCAAACATTGACAGTTAAAAAATTCAATAAAAAGGACAAAAATACTTTATTTTAATAAATTTTAAAATAAAATTACTCTAACAAACACATTAGGGTGCTGAGTACTTATTAAAAAATACTTTAGAGATAAAATACATCTTTACCTTATTATTTTAGTTTAGATGTAAGTTGTATTCCTGGTTTCTTTTCATCTAACTTAAGCTATTTGTTTTCTTTTTCTGTTTTATCTTAATTTAATTAGTCATGGTCTTATTTAATGTGTTTTCAGCAATTATTTTTAAAGTTTAGAAATATTATATAAAATTTAATTTTTCCGTGCTGATAGATTGTGTAATCTTTAAAACTAAAGATAATCCGCGGAAGACCGCGTGGTCAGCCATCACAAAACTATGGATGAATGGCTCTTCTTGTATTTGAAAGATTCTTTTTTCTATGATGCGTTTTCCATCTCACTAGACAGTTTTCTTCAAGTTAAATGCAAGTCCTTCACTTCCCTAAAATATTTCTTCCTTCTTTTCTTTTTCTTTCACCCTCAACTTCATCATCATGCCTAGAGTTAAAGTCGGACAGCACATTATTCTATTTCAACTTTTAAAGGCCATACCAGTATACAGTAGTTGTCTAAAGAATAGCGAAGCGAGGAGGGAAAGACGAGGATTGTTTGGAAATGAATAAAATTTTCTAATTTAATTAATTTAATTAATAAAAAAGTTTACTTACTTATAAAAAAGTTTATTTGCTTTTCAAAAAATAAAACATTATTTCCATACTATCTTTTCCAATAACAGAGATGATAGGATGTCAGGACAAATAAAGGCGGAAAACAAGCATGATCAGCTATACTCCTCAAATCCTGATTATAAATTATTTTTATCAATTTCATTAATATTAATATAAAAAATATATTAAAAAATAAAATTATATAAAATTTTAAATATATTTTTATATAATAAATTTAAAAAATAATATTATATCATTTTTTTTAATAATTTTAAAAATATTTTTAAAATATTAAAAATTCACATCATAACTTATAAATAAGATTAAATAAATTTTACAGGGAATACATTAAATAAACCACTGTTCTTGTAAGGAAAATAAAAAAAAGAAAAATGTTGATTAAGGGCCCGTTTGTAAATATATTTTAGAAATAATTCTTTGTTCTACAAAATAAGAGAATTAAAAAATCAATTCAATAACATATTTTGAACAAATATTTTAAAAAATAAAATATTATTCTGAAGAAAAAAATAAAAATAATTTTTATATATTCTGAAATTATTAATTTAAGAAATAAGAAAGAATAAAAAAATATATTTTTATTATTTTTATGTATTTTTTTATTTTAAAATATATTTGTAAAATATTAATTTTTAAAATAATAAAATAAAAACAGTTTCACACCCCTTACGTCGCGAATCTAATGGTTCAGTTCAGGGAGGCTTCCTGGTGGGTAGGGAGTGCTTGGCTAATTTGGCTTTGCCGAGAAAAATATCAAGTACAGTAAATTTAAGGGCAGTTTCGAGATATAGCGGAAAATCAGGGATTATTTTTATAGGTTAAGCAACGTTGTATTTTCCTTCTCTTCCTCCTTTCTCAAGCTTCACCCGTCAAGAAAGAAAAGAGAGAATTCCGGAATAACGAGACAGGGAGAGAATCAGGAGACCAAGCATTATCTTAGTTTTAATTTTAATGGGAGCAGATGAAGAATTGTGAGCTGTGCAAGGTCCCGGCGAGGACCTACTGCGAGTCCGACCAGGCTAGCCTGTGCTGGGACTGCGACGCTAAGGTCCACGGAGCTAACTTCTTGGTAACCAGGCACTCCAGGACTCTTCTCTGCCATGTGTGTCAGTCCCTGACTCCATGGAAAGCCTCCGGTGCTAGGCTCGGAAACACTTTTTCTCTTTGCGAGAGTTGTGCCAGCGGAATGAAGGATAACGGTGAAGAAGGGGAAGAGAGCGAAGGTGGCAATGACGACGACATAGACACAGAGGAGGATCTCGACGACGACGGAGACGACAACGGCGGCGATGAGGATGGAGATAATCAGGTAGTTCCCTTGTCCTCCATGCCGCCTCCGCCGGCTTCAAACTCCTCGAGTAGCGAAGAGTCAAACAGCAGATGTAATAGCAGCAATATAGTTATTTCTGAAACGGCGAGTACAATATCGTTGAAGCGAAAGCGTGAGGATGCACCGGATCTTGATTTTCAGGTTTCCTTTTCTTTTTCATTTGTTGGTTTGAATTTTAATATAATTTTAGATTTTAGATTTGTTCCTCGATTTCAAATTCATTTTCATGGATTGGGGAAAAGATTTTGGCGTATATGATGGGTAGCGTATTTTGATGTCTGATGTCCAAAACAGGATGGTTGCAATTGGTGGTGTAATAAAGATCGGAAAGGTGGGGAGCTGAGAAAGCGGGTGGCATGGTTAGAATGTGAAGGCGGTGAAGGAACGTCGAAGGAATCGCCGAGAGGTAGAGAGATCGCGCCGGCGACCTTGAAGGGATCTAGCGATGCCAAAACGCCGGAAGCCGTTTGATCGCGAAATTCGGAGTATCATAGCCGCAGGATCGAAACGGTAGCATGATATATTATTACTGAACTATTGACTAACTTCGTCTAACTACAGTCTTAATTTTCGACCATTTGATTGATTGTGTTCTTAATGAACGTTCGTGTCCCAATCCTTCCCAGAAATGAAGAAATACTTGCAGTGACCGGAAATTTTCGTTGCCTTCTTTCATTTTTAGTGTGAATCGTTTTTTCTTTTAAAAAAGAACGAACATTTTTACTTGAAATGGCACTCTTTTTCAGTGAGACTGCAACCTGACTGCGTTTCATCCAATCAAATAATCTGGTTTGATTTGTTTTTGATTATGATTATACTTCACTATTCCTGTCAAAATAATTAAAGCTTTATGAAAACCTCTGGCATTACGAGTGAAATGATGTTGCTCTTTAATGTGACATGGTGAACCAGCGCAACAAACATATTCCAGGGTCACCAAATTATTAAATTATCTCCTAACTTATCGAGCGGTGAAAGGTTTGAGTTGTATTAACTATTAAGATGTCAAAGGATGCAACCAACAATTCTGAAACAAGGAAGACAGAAAATGAGGATGGGGGGCCAGAGGCTGAGAACAATAGATAGGACGATAGAGCTGGAAGGTTTGTAGAAGAAGAATTGCAGTTTATAATTCATATGCAACGGGCTTGTCCCACGCTCAGAGTCCTAGGAGGACGTTTTAATTTGGCAACTTGACTCGCCAGTCCGCCATCTCGCATCATTTACGGCTTATTTTAAGAGAGATTTTCATTTGTTTATTGATCTGACCTCCTGAGCACATTTCTGGGAGCTTATCCTCCTGACCGAAGAAGATTAGGTTGGATAATTATGATTGTTAATTGAAGAAAAGTAATGAATGATTTGCATGATCGCTACTTTAAAAGTCACCGGCTGGCCGGGCATCACAATCAAGCGAGGGGAGAACCTTAAAAGCATAAATCAATCACGAAACTGTACGTGTACTAAATGTGTATTTTAATTTTTTTTATAAGTTATTTTCACATTTCTCATAAATATCAATCCAAAAAATGAAATAAAAATATATAAAATTTTAAACATATTTTTATATAATTAATTTAAAAAGTGATGTTATATTATTTTCTTTCTTTTTATAAAAAATATTTTTTAAATATTATCTAAAAAATTATACTATACTCTTTCGATTCGGTATATAAATTACTTTCTAAAAGCATAATTTGATCCATTTTGTAAGTTATTTGTTGGTAGAATTATTTTATTTTAATTTAAATTTCTCAAATTATCTTTAAAAAATGGGAGAGAGAAAGATAAAAAATAATATTATATAATTAATTTATTTTTTATTAGCAGATTATATTTAAAATTTTATTTACTTTTATTTTTTATATTTTTATTTTATTGATATTGATAAGATTAATAAAAATAATTTATAAATAGAACTGATAGAAATAATTTATAAATGAGATGAAATATATTTTTTTAAAAATATGCTTTGTGAAAATATTCAGAGGAAGAATTTAATAGAGCAGTGATGACTGATACGTGCGAGATTTATGGACCTCAGGAAAGGTTGTGGACGAGGGAGGTTGTGTCAGGAATGGGCAATGTCAGGTCTCGACGATGGGGTGAGAACACGTGGTTAGGAGAGAGCAAGCGAGTCTAATCACATTATTTTAATTTAAGAAGCGCGGAGATGGAACCGACGCAGCTGGAGCAGAGCGAAAATGATTAAACAAGTGTGGGACGGGTCTGAGCAAGAAAAAGAAAAGCACGGAGAAGGCTGTGGTTGTGGCGGACATTCGCTGGGCCGCTGAGCTTGTGTGGTGCTCCTTTCTTCCTTTATTTTTTATTTTCTTTCATCGCTGTGCCGCGCGGGTTTGCCTTCTTCTACCCTTTCTTTACAATCACATAACGAGATCTGAAGTTTTCAGATAATTTTTTTTATTTTTATTAAAATAACAATTTATAATAATTATAAAAATTATTATCAATTTCAACAGTACAGATTGTATCTGTGCGTTTTAATTTACTATTAAATTTAGATCAGCAATGTTAAATCTAAGTAGCCAGATTGGTGATCTAATAAAATTATTAAACTTTTTTTAATAATTTTTATTTTAATAAATATACAGTAAAAAATTTAAATTTAAACTGTCAGATTAAATTTAAATAATTCAAATTTTGTTATGTGGTGCAAAGAAGAGGTAGTGAAGGGAATATTAAAATTAAAGAACAGAATACAAGCGGTGCTATGCACGGATACCCCTCCCTCCCATCGCTGCCTGATTTTTATCATTCCTGATTTTCTGAAATTACCCGTGAAAACGACATCGGAATTTACCCTTTTTTGACATTTACCCTAAAATATTTTCTACCCGTTTTCAGCTAAATTAATTACGACCACATGTCCGTTAAAATTATATTATAAGTGTTTGCATCCTAAATTTGGAAGCCCGGCCCAACTTAACTTAATTGACTTTAAAATAATTATATAAAAAAATATTCATGAAATTTTAGTCATTAAGTCAAGACAATCACCCATGATGAGTGAACATGATGGAGGAAGTGCTTTCTAAATTTAAGAAAAGTGACGATCATGGGGTTTGAGTATCAAGTCAGAATCATCTATAAATAGAGAAGCTCTCTCTCAACAGTCATCATCAAATCATCATCAGCATCAACAAACTAGCAATCTCAAACTCCTGCTACTTTATTTTACTTTTTCTTTATCATATAGTTTTAGTCTTTACTTTTCGTTGTATGGCCGGCATAGCTTGTCACCTATTTTTTTAATTAATGCATCTCTGCTTTTCTGCATCTATATCGGAGCCAATACTAGAGGGGTTGGAGCCACAAGGGCCGAAGTCATCGAGGCCCAAGGTACGTAAAACCGGACTAGTCATTAAACTGGTCATGGCACTGGGTCACGGGTTAGTGGTTCAATCGGGGTTGAACCGGGGGTTGAACCGGTGGCAAACCGGTCATGATTAAAATAATACAATTTAAATAAAATGACATTAATTATAAAAATATTTAATCAAATCTAACCACTCAAAAGTCTAACAATAATAAAATACTATATTTTTGGACTTAGCATGCTCTATCTCTAATTTTTCATTTTTTGACTTCAATTTTACTTTTTTTGTTATCTTTTTTCTGAACTCAGAGCTCTGAAAAATTAAAAATAAAAAAAAAATCAAAAACGACGTCGTTTTAGGGTAAAAGTCTGAAAAAATATTAACCCGGTTAACCCAGTCAACCCACCGGGTTATCCGGGGGTTGACCGGGTTACACCGGTTTACTCCCTCACCGAGTTAAGAGCAAACCCAGACCGGACAGGGGACCGGTTCACCGGTTTCCGGGTTGACCCGGCCGGTCCGGTCCGGTCCGGTTTTTAATACCATGTCGAGGCCAGCACCATCGAGGCTGGAGCCACAAGGGCTAGAGTTATTGGGGCCAGCACTGTCAAGGCCGAAGCCACAAAGGTGGAAGTCATAGGGGTCGCAACCAAGAAGCTAGCACCTAAGGGCCGCAACTATAAAGGCCAAAATTAGAGGGGCTGAAGTCACAAGCGCCGCAACCATAAGGGTTGGCACCATAGGGGCCAAAGTCAGAAAAGCAAGTTTTGTAAGGGTCCTTTCCACAAGAGCTCTCTCCTAAAGGGCTTTCTTTATAGGGGCCTCGCAATAGCTAGATTTTACAGTATCAGTCCTTACAGTCTAAAAACTCGAAGGGCTAATTCCTAAATTAGCTCTTGAGGTTCTAAACCTTGAGAAACTTGATCCTAAGCTGGACCACATGGTCCTTAATTCTCAATCACAAGGGTGTCCTTCAAGAAAAGTATCAGATCAACTATTAATCAGAATGAGAATGAGCCGGTCCTTCAAGATATATCCATACAAAATTGGCCTACAAAAACTCCAGCCAATTTGTATGCGAGGGGCATTATTGCCCAAATTATGAATTTAAAAGCCTTGACCTAACTCAACTTAATTGGCTTTAAAATAATTATATAAAAAAGAATATTCGTGAAGTCTTAGCCATTAAGTCAAGACCATCACCCATGATGAGTGAACATGATGGAGGAAGTACTTCCTAAATTTAAGGAAAGTGGCGATCATGGGGCTTAGGCACCAAGCCAGGATTATCTATAAATAGAGGAGCTCTCTCTCAACAGTCATCATTAGATCATCATCAGCATCAACAAATTATCAGTCTCAGACTCTACGTCTGTTACTTTATTTTTTTATCATGTAGCTTTAGTATTTATTTTTCATTGTACAGCCGGCATAGCTCGCCACCCTTTTTCTTTAATTAATGCATCTATACTTTTTTGCATCTACATTAGTATTCTTCATTTCACCTTCTCACATCGGGTGAACTGTGATAAGAGACCTCGGATCCCCCACGTTTGATTAAAAGTCAGGTTCTTCTATCCTCTTGAAACCCCGCGTCTCTAGCAAGCCTCACGACACAACACCACGCCTGATTAATTGTTTGTTTTTTATGAACAATAAGATTACAGAATATTTATTAGGTGTATAAATTTAAGAGGAATGTAATTTTAATTAATGAAAGAAGTTAGGAAAAAAAATAAAAGAATTTGGAAAGTCTACAGTACTTTCATGATATGAAGAGTTAAATTTATATAAATGAATTTAACAATAATTAATAAATTTCCTAACAATATTTAATAAATATAAAATATTTCTTAAACGTAAACAACATAAATTTTAATAAACAGTAAATATAAATAAAATAAATTTTTATTAACAATACATATAATCTTTTTTATAAGTCATTTCTATCAGTATTAATGTAAAAAAAGTAAAAAGAATAAAAGTGTATAAAATTTTAAATATGTCCCTATATAACAAATTTAAAATGTAATGTCATATTAATTTTTTTTTTCATGAAAAATAATTTTTAAATGTTTATAAATGAGGTAAAAAAGACGACGGCCTTGTAAATGAGATGTAGAAATTAAATAAATTAAAACGCAAGGAATAAATCAAATAAAAAAGATGGGACAAGAGCGAGATGGAGGGAATAAAATGAAAAGGTGGCTTGTAAATAATAGGAGAGGGGGAAAGCCAACAGCAAAGGGCTAGCTCGAATAAAAGGTACGGGTGGTGGAAATGGCAATGAAGGTGGAAATCAAGCTATGTCGGCTTTT